GTTCAACATTGGCCGGCCTGGCTCCCAGGGTACAATTGGGGAGCACTACTGTGTTCCCACCTGCTTGGGGTTTGTGCTGTTAGGGGTCGGTGCGCCCGCTTGTTCTCACTTGTTTGTGCAGCTGTCCCAGAAACTGCCCAGATTTTCACACGCACATGCCATTGTGGCCTCCCAGATGCTTTCTCTGGCCTTCGGTGGCACTGCAGCCCCAAGTACCAGTACTGATGGGTGGTACTGATGGGTAGCCCTTCCTGGGAGCAGCTGCCCACCTTCCTGGAAAAAAAAAAAGACAGCTTCCCCCAGGCCCAGAAGCACACCCCCCATCCACAGGTTCCTCTTCACCCTGCTGTCCTGGGTCAGTGGGCAGGGATTGCGGCCAGATTTGTGTGTCTTCCAGGACAAGTGACCAGGAAACCTGAAATTGTTGGTGGGGGGTGGGCAAGAGGAGGTTCAAGAAGGGATGACAAAGTCTGAAGTCTTCGTTCCCTTTAAGAAAAGGAGAAGATTGCAAGCCAGAAGGTGTGCTTGGGAAAGATGACCCAGGCATACAGTGGCTCACCATTTTAATTATAGTCGAAGGGGTGGGGTTGCCTCAGGAGCCTTTGCTCACGTGAGCTGAAATGTCTGCTCTGAGCTGGCCTCTGACAGACTGCTGAGCACTCGCCCAGGCACCTCGAAGCTGGTGAGGGCAGCCTGACTGCCGGCAGCCGATTCAGCGCCGAGCCAGCAGCGCCGTGGGCCTTCCCAGCCGCAGGTACCTGCCTGGGGCCCCCCTTTCCATAGGCGGCTGAGCCAGGCCACGGCAGTGGGCTCTTCCAGAAAGGCTTGCTGCTTTGGCTGATCTGAACGGGTTAACATCCTTTCTTGGTCTGGGTGGAATTTACAACTGGTGTGTTCCACCGTGTTTGAGAGTGGGAGGAGCCCCACCGGACGGTGGCCTCTCAGGGTCAGTCTTAGTTATTGTGTTGTTGTTATCAGTACTGGTTATTGAACAAGTAGGACAAATTTTGAGAGCAAGGAATGGTTGCCTTTCATGCCCCAAACCTCCTCCTCCCCTTCTTTTTTTTTTTTTCCCTCCTCGAACCCTTCTGATTCTTCTTTCCTGATGTAGCTACATTGCCCCTGCCAGAACCCATTTCTGGGCAACATGAATATTAGTCATTTGCACCATAGAATAAATAAGTTTATGTGAGTCAGTCTTTGTATCTTGATTTGGGACTAAAGGGCTGTGTCTATTGTTTAAGCATTTAGGGCTTCTGGGCAGGAATAGGAGGAATTTTCAAGGTGGGGGAAGGTCATTTACCTCTAAAATAATTTTTAAAAGTGCGTATAGTCCCCTTTCCTCTTTCAGAAGATTGGATGTTTTCAGGCATTCTGGCTAAGCTTAAACATAATTTTCAGTTGTTGGCAAGAGAATCCAATGTCTCCCCAAGTAGTTAGTGTCAGAAGTGAATTGAATTGTGGGACACGCAGTTGTTGTCGGAACTGGTTCCTGCTGTGGGAAAAAGCCACACATTTGGTGTCAGAAGTGGTGTGAGTTAAAAAAAAAAAAAAAAGATAAAAAGCTTCATCCCTCAACGAAAGGCCGAAGTTATCTAGAGACACAGGAAGTTGACCGTGGTTTGGAGAGAGGCAGTGCCCTTGCCCCTTTCTGTGTCTTTCATTGGTTAATGACCTCAGACTAAGGAAGAGGGAGGGCAAAATGCTAAGTCCATGGAGCCAGCATCCCTATGGTGACCATGTCATGTCTTCCAAGGAAGCTCTGACTCCCCGAAACCGTGTGAGGTGGTGACCCGCAGCCTCGGTGGAAAGCCCACCGCGACCTACAGGCCCAGCAGCCGGTTCTTAGGGCTCACTAGCTTGGTGGTGACGCAGGCTATTTGGAAAAGCAGCTCAGGTTGCTGGCAGCTGGCACAGCTCACCCCGTGACCCGGGAACTTGGCTTCCGCTGAGCACACTGCTGGGTCAGGCAGGGAAGGCCTCCTGGGCTCGGGCCCACACAAGGGCAGCTTCCCCAAAGCGCCTAGAGGTCTTGAAGGAGCAAGTCTCTCTCTCTCTGTCTGTGTTCAGGCTCGTCATGCCAAGGTGCCAGTTTGGTCTGCAGACGTTGTTTCCCTCATGCCAGACTCCAGAGAGGGCTGGTTTCTAGGATATGCAGCTGGTTGTGTGGTTCCTGCATTGTCCTGGCCTGAGCTGCCAGCTTTACTCCACCTGCTGTTTTCATGCCCTTCCAAGCTCCGCCCTCTCCCAGGTGTGCCAGTCTTGCCTCTACTTTGAATAAACACACAGGCCCAGTAGGCTTCCTTTGAGGACTCTTGGGGTATTAGTCATCTTCCTCCGAGATTAGTCCTCCCAGAAGCTGCAAGGCTCTCTGTGTTGACAGCATTCAAAAAAGAGGGACGTTGGTAGAGAAACAGGCTTCCCGGACCCTCCTCCCTGGCGCCCTTTCCACCTTGTGTCTCTCTGAAGACCTGTTCATTTTCAGGCCTGGCCCGACGCGGGTGCCATCACAGTGTCCACCTCCCCCTCCCCCAAGCAGAAGGAACCTTCCCTTCCCCAGGTCCCACCGCAGCTCGTGCTTGTTGGATATTTACAGTCAGGTGACCACCGCCACAGTCAAGATAGAACAGAATTGCCCCCCAAATTTCTGCATGCTCTCATAGTCAAAGCCTCCCTTCACCCCAGCCCCTGGCAACCACTGATCTGGTGTCTCCCCAGTGTTTTGCCTTTGCAAGAGCATGCACGTGGATCGGAAAGCATGTAGCCTTTTCAGTCTGGCTTCGTTCACTCTGCATAAAGCACTTGTTATGTGTATCTGTGGTTCATGCCTTTTCACTGCCGAGTACGCATAACATCTTACCCAGATGTCTGCATGGACCTCTTCTGTCCTCTCCTGATATCTGGATGTTATTCTGTCTGTCTCCTCGGTGCACAGCCAAGCCCGTCCAGGGCTGGCCTGTGTCTTGCCTGCCTCTGTGTCCCCAGCCCACACATAGGCCCGTGACAGAGCGTGGGGCCCGGGCAGCTGGGCACTGCCTCGCCAGGGGGTCCGAAGTGTCTGCCTGGGCAGCAGGGCCCCTGCAGAGGTGTGGCCCAGCCTGGGCGCCGGCTCTCTCCAGGTCCTGGCTGCTCCCTGCTCAGTCTCTGTTCAGCAGGCGACCTGGACAGATAGGGTTGGGTGGTCTGGCCTTTTGTAAACCGCTCCCACCCTCAGTTTGGCGTCTGTGATGGGCAGGGTGACAACTCTCTGGGGCTCCGTGTCATGAGTTACTGGGAGTGTGTAAGTATGCGCCTCTCTCGTTCCTCCCAGGCCAGAGAAGCCCTCTCTGGGCCTTGTTTTCCCTGAGTCACAGCTGCCCTAGCTTGTTAGTTAAAAATAGGCCTGGCATCCCCGCCCTGTGACAGGCCCTCCTCACCCAGGCTGACACTGGAATGTTTATGTAAATATTTGTAGGAGCTCAGGTTGGGATCATTTCTATTCCCAGATCTTCTTGTCTTGACTCCTGAAGCAATGAGGGGACGGTGAGGGCCAGCACGCGTTAGAAACACTCGGGGTAGCGGCACGTTATTTGGGAAGTGGCTGGAGTTCAGGGTGGCTCCTAGAAGCCAGTGGGACTGGTTGGTCATTCGCTGTAGTGACAGTGGCTCAGCTGAAAGTCCAGTTTGCTATCAGACTGACCGGGGTTGTTCAAACCCCATTTCCACTCCTTGCTGGCCCGTGGTCTTAGACAAGTTCCATGACTTCCCTGAATGCCAGTTTCTCGTTGTGCGTTATCTCCCCTGCTCAGGCGGTTGTGGGAATTAAAATGATCACGTGTGTAAAGTGCCTGACAGGGCCCAGCATCGTTTAGCGTGGCTACTACTACGGGCACCTCTAGTCTTGCCAACTGCTGTGCCAGCAAACACTCCACCTTTGCATGGGACATCTAAGGAAAGAGCTAGAGGTTCTGAAAGAAGGACACAGGAGTGTCCAAATGCATGCCCAGGCCTCTTTCCAGTGCTGCTCAGATCTCATCATTGTTGGGTTCAGCCACTACAGTGTCCTTAAATCACTTCAGCAGCTGCCCAGTAGGGCTGGTAACTCAGGACTCACCAGCCGCAAGAGGACAGTAACTGAGCTTAAAATAGAAGTGTCCCTTGAGGGCTGCGCAGGCCCCTGGGGAAAGGCCCGGCAGTGTCTGCCCACCCAGGCAGAGCCGGACTCTGGGCATTGAGGCTGCAGACCTCTCCCTGTGAGGCAAGCCAGGCTTCCTTGGTCCAGAAGCCCTGAGGGTACGTGTCCTGTCTCGCCCACCGGTTGCAGAGCTGCCCTCCGAGAAAGCAAGCCGGGGAGGGTGTTGGGAGCTAGGGGTCTGGTGGTAGCTGACACCAGAGGCCTGGCAGGCCAGTGAGCTGGGTGGGTTGGACTAGTTCTGGCCTTGGTTTCGGGGTGTAAGGGAGCCACTGGGAGGCATTTTTAAAGGTGGAAAGTGAAGCCGTGCTAAGAGGGCAGATTAGGAGAGGCTAGGCCAGGCTGTTTGGCTGATGTTTTTTGTTTTGTTTGTTTTTTTCCCATTGATTTTTTTTTTTTTTATGGGAGAGTGGAAGATAGAGAGAAAGACAGAGAAACATCGCTGTGAGAGAAATACATCGATGGTTGACTCCCACAGGAGCACTGACTAGGGCAGGCCAGGGAGGAGCCTGCAACCAAGGCACGTGCCCTTGACCGGAATTGAACTCGGGACCCTTTGGTCCGCAGGCCGACGCTCTATCCACTGAGCAAAACCGGCTACGTCTTGTTTTTTGTGTGTGTGTGTTTTTTAAGGCCCCAAACAGGTCATTGTGTCTGAATATAAGTGTGTCAGAAGCCAACCAGGGGATGCCCACAGAGCAAGGCCCACACAGAAAGGTCAAGCCCTCCCCATTGCAGGAAGATGCCCAGACGGGGCAACTTTGTGCTCAGAGCAGCATCCCTCTGCTGTTTGTACATTTTGTCTGACTGGTGCTTCCTCCCCCTGCAGGTGCCACCATGGAGTCTGACTTCTGCTGATCGGACCCAGGCAGGAGGGCACAGCCGAGACCGCGGCCTGTAGCCAGTCGCCATGGCTTCCCCCAGCACGGATGGCCAACTCCAGAGGATCATCCGTGATTTGCAAGGTACGGTCAGGCCGCCAGGCATGCGGGTTTGGTGTGGAGGGAGCTGTGACTGCTTTTGCTTTTGCGGTTGAAGTTCAGCCCTTTCATCTGTGTTCACACGGGGAGGGGTGGGGGACGTTGATTGGAGCCCTCAGGACACATTATATTGAAATATTCGGGGCTCAGCTGTCCATCCTGTATGGCTGGGAGACCCCAAGGGCCCTCCTCTCTGGGCACTGTAAGGGCACTTTGTAAACAAAATCAAATACTCCTTTCCAGGTCCGGGTCTGGTTTCCGTGTATGTGTGTGTGTGTGTGTGTGTGTGTGTCTGTCTGTTTTCCTGGCTGAAGCACGCGTCTCTGGGCTCTCTCTAATGGAGATGGGAAAGAATATTCTCCTTCTCTCTGAGCTGGAAGACCAGATACCAGTCTTTCTTGTTTTGCCGTCTCGCCTGCTGGCAGTGGGCAGGTAGCCTATCCTGGACGAACTCCGGAACTCCGAGCTCCGGTTGTGGGCCTGCTGCTCCTGGGCATCGCCAGGCGCAGGAACTCAGCCTGAGGGTGCAGAGGAAGGCCCCTGCCACCCCACCCCCCACCCCAGCGCTCAGTGCACAGCAGTGATCTGACCTCTCTGCCAGCTCCTCGTCTGTAAAATTCTACGTTGTCCTTACTCTTTTTCGTGTTTAAACAGCTCTGATGTTGGGATCATCTTAAAATCAATTGCATCTTAGATTTGTTGAAGTAAGGCACTTCCTGCTACATTAAAGGAGAAAGACTTGCAAAGGCCTGGCCCCTAGCTGGGCCCCGTTAACAGAAGCAGGCACTGTTGTCATTCTTGCGATTGTCACATGACTATTTGCACATTCTGGGTCTTCTTGAAGCCTGGACTTCCCTGTACTGAGCGGTGAGGTGATAGTGAAGGGAGAGTGAAGAAACATGGCCAGAACGAAGGATAAGGCTTTCTGGCAGCCAGTGTTAAGGGACTGCTCAATGATCCATCCACACAGCAAACATCTGTTGACCAAGCAGTATGAGGCCTGCATGGTGGGCCTGCAGGGATGGCCTGGAAAAATGCCCACCCTGGGAGCTGTTGCAAAGTGCCTGTGGGCTCTCGGGTCACCTTAGCGCCTTCTGACTTGGCCTTACGTCCCTGGGGGTGGACACAGCACTTACGTTTTCGAGGTGCTTTGCCATCATCGACCACTGCCGCCTCCTGCTTCCCGATTATCCTGCTTGTCTCCTAGTGGTTGGCCTCCACCTGGTTACGTGTTCCTGTTTGTTGTCTTAAAGATGCTGTGACAGAACTAAGCAAAGAATTTAAGGAAGGAGGGGAACCCATCACAGATGACAGCACCAGCTTGCATAAGTTTTCTTACAAACTTGAGTACCTCCTTCAAGTAAGTGACTCTGTAACGTGTTGATTTCTGCTCTGTTGTCTTGTTTCACTTGTCAGCTTTAAGGATGTGGGCCAGGAAGCTCAGTGAAGCCATTAGGCCGTCCTGGTTAGGCCCGAGGCATCGTGACTTGGGCCTCCAAATGCCATCCTCTGAGGATTCGGCAAGTTGCCCCTTAGGACAGTGGTTCTCAACCTTCCTAATGCCGCAACCCTTACAGTTCCTCATGTTGTGGTGACCCCCAATTTCATTGTTACAAATTGAACATAATTAAAGCATAGTGATTAATCACAAAAAACATGTAATTATATATGTGTTTTCTGATGGTCTTAGGCGACCCCTGTGAAAGGGTCGTTCAACCCCCAAAGGGGTCGCGGCCCACAGGTTGAGAACCGCTGCCTTAGGAAGATTTGGGAATCCAGAACATTCTTTAGAGACTTAGGTCAACTTAAGGCAGGTAAGAAGGTTTCTGTATAGCAGGGGTCTTCATTTGGGGGAGTCACATCCCCTTTTGAAAATTAGGTGAAAGCTATGGAATCTCTTCCCAAACAGACATGCGTATGTGCACACACCAATCACATTTTGCAGGAGCATTTGGGCCTTTGAAGGTTGTCCAGAGGCCTGTGCTAGAGCCTTCCTGCCCAAAGCATTGTGATTCGTAGGCCAGCAGCACCAGCTCACCCAGGAGCAGGCTGGAAATGGACGCTTGGTCCCCACTCTGAGGTCAGCCCAGGGAGTTCTTTCACACACTTGCAGCCTAATGCTTGTGTCCGCTGGTTCAAGTGCACAGACCAGAGAACTCTGCAGATGCAGAAAAGTACATCAACTACAACAGGAAGGAAATGGACCGATATGTTAATAGAAGTTAATCTTAGGCATTATAATCTTTTCTATTTTTAAAAAATATTTTTTATTTTTATTGATTTCAGAGAGCAAGGGAGATGGGGAGAGATAGAAACATCAACGATGAGAGAGAATCATTGATTGGCTGCCTCCTGCACGCCCCCTACGGGGGCTCGAGCCCACAACCCAGGCATGTGCCCTTGATCAGAATCGAACCCGGGACCCTTCAGTCCGCAGGCCGATGGCGTATCCACTGAGCCAAACCAGCTAGCACATCTTTTCTATTTTTTAAAATCCAGATTTCCTAACATATCTGCATGTCTTCTATAGTCAGAAAAAAAATGCTGTAAGGTGTTGTGTTATAGGAAGATACGCCTATACATTTTGAGCACCATTAGTTTTCAGCGTCACATCCCACCAAGGTATATACAGGATGAGAGCCCGCTGGAGGGGTGCCCCAGCCTGTTGAAGGGCTCCTGCCCCATGCGTGCCCTTTCAACCTGTTCTCTGTTTTACTTTGTGAAGATATTTATGGACTTTTTTTTCTCATGTAGCCAGTTTTGGTTTTGGATTTGAAGTGATTCATAGCTGACACTTACTTGAATTTATTGTATGTGTATTAAATATTGATGTAACGGATTAAATCCCACTAACTCATTTTCCTAAATTGAGACATAGTTAACACACTTCATGTTGCCCTTAAGACTTTTCACTTGTATTCCTTTGTCATAAGTTGTTATATATCTTTATCAAGGTTGTTACTAGCAGACTTTGGTGGTCTCCCACCCAACTCTATGCATAGAGATCTCTTCAAGAGATAAATTTTTTTTGGGGGGGGGGGAGGGGTTTCTATTTCTGAATCTTAATAGTTGTATGACCTTGAACCAGTTACTTAACCTTTCCCAGCCTCAGATCTGTAAATTGGATTAAAGCACCTTCATTTGACAATAAATAGAAATAATGCCGGTAAATGGCCTTGCCCAGTGCCAGGCAACCAAGAAGCTATTGTTAGTTATCATTTAATGAGATGAACAGCAGTGGGTCTGGACCGCCTCTCTCTGTCCCTTTCCCTACCCAGTTCGATCAGAAGGAGAAGGCCACCCTCCTGGGCAACAAGAAGGACTACTGGGATTACTTCTGTGCCTGCCTGGCCAAGGTGAAGGGCGCCAACGATGGGATCCGATTCGTCAAGTCTATTTCGGAGGTAAGCAGAGCAGCCAAGGACCCCACGTCTTCCTGTCACCCGTCTTCAGCGTCTCTTTACAGAGAACTTTGCTGCAGACAGTCAAGTGAGGAAGTGGTGTTTACGGGTGGTGAAGTAACACATTAGCCCAGGTACACTCAGTGCCCACTGTCAGCGCAGGGAAGCCGCCCACATGAGCCTTCACCCAGCCGGGCCTGTTACGAGACCGCAGCCCACACTCATAGCGGGCTGTTCACACTGTGGTCGGCCCATGGGCCCCCGGAGGTGTACAGCACCTGCTGAAAGTGTCAGTTTCTTAGATAAATTCTTCATGTTTGCTGGGCTGTTGCCTGTAGGTTTTCCAGAAACCTTAGATTTGAAATGAAGAGAGTGATGTGGGATCTTAAGAGACATTAAATGCCGGTGTGCTAAGCAGCTTCCCACGTTAAGTGCTGAGCCCCTAGAGCAGAATGCCCTGGCTTCCGTTTTGCAAAACTCCAGAACAATCTCTCTGTCTCTCCCGAGTCTCCCACTCCTGAGGAATCTTTTTCTCTCGTACGCCTAGTCCATCTGAGAGTAAGAACTTTACATATTAGGGAGCAAGTGACCCCCTGGATTTAGAGCAGGAGGCCTAGAGGGTTTGGACATTTCATCTTTTCAGTGTCTTGTCTGTAAGTTTAAAGATACTTTAAAGGCAGCACCGTGCTCCTTGGCTGGCCTCCTGCAGAGACCGCAGTCCGGTGCTCCCGGGAGAACTCCTTTCCAGCGCTGGAGCCAGCTGGTTTCTTCTTATAGAGCATGACAGATACACTGGCATGAGGGCTGGGCGTTTTCCACCAGCTGCACCTCTGACATCTGAGATCATGAAAGATCCCGACTTGAGGAGTTTGTTCTGCCAGTGTCTTTCATGTCCATGTATCGCAGACGGGTCTTGTGAGATCTTGCCTGGTGGGCCACTGGGGTCTGTGATGTAGAATATGCTTGCTGCTCCCCAAATCTAGAGGGGGTGCTCAGTGTTGCCCTCCTGTCCATATGCTGAGGAGTTCCCTTGCACTCCATCTCCCGCTCCTCACAGCAACTGCAGCCTGCGACCGCTGACCTCCAACAGCTCAAGTCTGGAAGTACATTTAGTTTAGTCCTCACGGCTCAGGGTTATGAAACGCCTCCATCTACTCTTTAGCTGGTTCTTATTCTTTACTCACAATTGCAGTCCAACCTTTCGAGGCCAGGAAACTGTCTTCTAGAAGCAGGAGCGTTCCCTGCTTGCACAAACATGGTTGGGTTTCTGGTGGCTGACATAGGCTCCCCCGCCCAGAGGGTGCAGTCCTCTCATCTGTTGAGGACTCTGCTCTCTGGGCACTCTGGGCACCACTGAGCTTGGGATGTCACTGGCAGGATGGGCTGCTGGTACTTGGGTTAACTCTAATCAACAATCAAGTGCCAGTAAGCCAGAAGGTAAAAGTTCATGAGCAAGAGCATTGCTGGGCCCCTCTGGCCCCTTTGGGCGGAGGCAGCCATGTGGACTAAAGCAGTCGAGGGCTCTGACCCGCCACTTCTAGAGGTTCAGGATGGGCTCACGCTGGGCTCTGTGCATCTCCCCACGATGGGCAGGAGCAGAACCTGCCTTCAGCTTGGTTGTCAGGCTCCTGGCATATGGCCCGCGTAAAGTGGAATCAGCTCTCCTGTACCTTGCAGACTTCCTGTCCTCGCTGTTGCTATATCGCTTCCTGATAGACTGCATATGGCCTGATTGATTGCTAATAAATTTCAGGAATTAGGCCATAAAAGCAGACCCAGGATCTTAAAACGTAGAAAATAAAATGGCTGGGCAGTATTTTCATTTGTAATACAAGGGAACCACTGTTCTCTTCCCTAAGGGATGTTTAAAAAGACCTTAAAATAAATAGCTCCCTTTCTGTATATAAAATACATTCCATTAATGGGCCTGGTTAAAAACAAGACTCACGTGTTTTCCATTAAAAAGGTAAATGTCCCAAATGCTGTGACAGTAGCCATTTTGCTCATAAAGACCAGCCGCTCCCTGGGAGCTCACAGACACGGCTGTCCTGTGAGGTTGGCTCGGTTCCATGGGGCTGGTGGGGAGGGTGTTTATGTGACAGACACACTTCGCTTCACCGCACCCGGCTCAGCTGTTATCGCTGCCCGAGTTCCCTAGCCGTCACCACTGGACACTTCGTTCTCACTTCACTCATCAGTAGCAGAAATGCTTGGACATAGTGATGTCATCAAGATTCCCCCTGGGCATCTATCACAGCCAACCGACTGTAGACAGGCCACGGCGGTTTTATAAAGCCAGGGCCACGCTGCCACCCACCTCCCTCCAGGCATCCTGACTTTACCCCAAACCCACAAAGCTGACATGGAAAAATGTCTTGCAGCCTTTGTGATTATTGAGGTTTCACACCTTTTTATTTTTTAAAACGACTTCATGTTGTGGTATCATCTCCTTAAGTGAACCGTGAGAAGTCGGATAGCTCTGAGCTAAAGGGTGCCTGGTCTTCTGGAGCCGAACCGTTGGCGGTATGAATCCTGATTTGCAACTGGTCTCACTTGTCTTCTGTGGCTGTCCCCTAGGTCTCGTCCATCTTGGCTGCTGTGTGTCCCCAGCTGGCAGTCTGACCAGCACTCTCCCTCTCCACAGCAAGCTTCCAGAAACCTTTAGAAACCATGTTTTGTTATGGTGGGGAGAGGTTTCGAAGACAGTCCCGTACCCAGGCCCTCCATCCAGCTCCTCCACCCTGAACGAGAACTGTGCTCCTTTTTCATGACCCCCGAGTACCTGGGCCACCTAGACGCACCCCTGCTCTCCCCCCACACACACACCTGCTGACTAAATGCAGTGAGTTGGTGTAGCTGCAAAGAAACCCACCAGGAAAGTGTCGACGATGCGTGCACTTCACTGCTGGTTTCATGAGGGTGCAGAGGAGGCAGTTATACAGTCATTAGAACTTCTTAAAAGTCCCCTTACACAACCCTGCCCTTTGCCCTCCTCTCTCCCCCTCCACAAGGGCTCCAGCCAAGCCCTGTAAACCTCTTCCGCCAAACAGCCCAGACTAGCCACGCTGACCAGCTCTCGCTCAGGCTCACTTCTGGTGTGAGAAGTCCTTTTTTGGCCTCCAAGTTTCATTCTGAATATTCCAAATTAAATCATACAGTTCTTCTCTGACTCCAAACCCAGAGACTCTGATGGAGTAGAACCCACAGGTGTTCGGAGCCTCGTGAACACATCTTTCTGAACCTGCCTATAGGTTATTCCACAGGTTATTCTTGGAGGGAGGCCCAGAAGAAGGCGACCCACTTCAGGCCTCGCTCTGGGGGGTGATGTTATCAGATGTTTGTGTCCTTTGAGGGACATGAGTGAAGCCAGTGTACAGGGTAGAACTGGGTGGCGTTGTCTGTGCTGTTTCTGTTTTATGCAGGCCATCTATGGGTGCTCACAGACATGCGCCATTATGACTTAGGCTAACAGTTCTGCATCCCCATGTCATCTTTTTCCAGCTCCGAACATCTCTGGGGAAAGGAAGAGCATTTATCCGCTACTCATTGGTGCACCAGAGGCTGGCAGACACCCTGCAGCAGTGCTTCATGAACACCAAAGTGACCAGGTAAATGCCGACAGCTCTGGGTTGACCCTGGTCCATTCACAGGTGAACCCAAGTGCCCTGGTGAATGTAATGACACCTGCGGCTGCAGTGTCTGCCCTTGTGGCATAAGCAGAGCCTTCCCACATCTGTCATCCTCACGTGGGGGGCAAGGGGCACTAAGTGCCCCCCCCCGCCCCCAGGCTCCCCGTGCTGAGTCTGAGTCCTAGAGCAGGAGCGTGGGTCCAGATTGACAAGCAGTTTTCCCTGGGGTGGCATGGCCTTGGCAGGCACTAATGAGTGGACACACCCCACTGGTCACCCTGGCCTGTCTGCAGAATCACCTGTGGGGTTTTGAGCCCCACTGAGCCTGGGCCTCACTGAGGTAACCACCTGCCAGGCATGTCTGGGCACCCTGGAGGTCATGATGGGCACCAGTGAGGGAACCTTTGGGCCACTAGTGATGACACCTGGGGTGGGGGAGGGGTTGAGTGTGTAAAGCAAGTGGAGTGAGTGTGTCAGACCAGGACCCCTCTTCCAGCTCTGCCTCCCTCTCCCTAGGGAGCGTGCCTCCAGGTAATCAAAGAAATCATTGCTGAATTAATAAAAAAAAATAGAACTGTTGGGGGAGCATACTTTGTTTCATTTTGTCACCTTTAAGATGGATTTGCCTAAAGGTGTATTTCTCACACAGTGACACGTGAGGGCCTTTGTGAATTCATGTGAGGTGAGAGAATCTTCACACATTGGATTTGCAGGCTGTTTTGTTCTAGTCTTTGGTGAGAACAGCTTGGCTTCCAGTGTTTAGGAAGCCAAGTTCACGGGCATCAGCCAAGTAGCTCTTTAAACTCAGCAGTGTGTCCTTTTAAATTCTTCCTGCTCCAGGAAGTGAACAGCGGACACCACACAGTGCAGATCTTTTGTTCTTTGTCTTTTAAATTGGTGTCAGGACAGAAATTAGCAGTGAGGTCAAAGTCCTGTAATGAATTCTCCAGGAGGAATCGCAGATGAGACAAAAAGGAAGTGTTCTGTCCCCTACAACTACCCTTTCTGGGCAAGTAATTGAGACTTAAGGTTTCTCATATCCTTTTGGGGAAATAGATCTAACAGAAATAATAACTGTATAAGTATCTAGTTCATCTCAGGAATTTCTGTGAAGAGCAGGCTTATAGGGGAGTTAGGAGCTGCAGTGGAAATCACATGGCGGGGGGGGGGGGGGTCGTGTGTCTGTCTGTCTGTCTGTTCGCTTTAGTAGCCTGTGTTAGAATTGGATGGGGCAGCGCCATGCTGAGAGCACTCAGTCCACTCTTTTCTTTCCTGCATTTCTTGTAACCTCACCTTGTATGTTTCCCTGCAGCGACTGGTACTACGCCCGAAGCCCCTTTCTGAAGCCCAGGCTGAGCTCTGACATTGTGGGCCAGCTCTACGAGCTCACCGACGTTCAGTTTGACTTGGTGTCCAGGGGCTATGACTTGGACGCGGCCTGGCCGACGTTTGCCAGGTAAAGAATTGCTTGGTTTAAAAGACAGGGTGGTAGGGGGATGTTTGAAGTGTTCAAAATTGCCACCAGTCTACTCAAAGGACTTGTGTGCTCAGTAAATACACAAAGCTTCACCACTCTCATGCCTATTAATTGTACAGACTTTGTTGAACAGTGACTCACCAAACATCTGAAGGCTCCAACCTTAAGCTGACCTAATTGGCCAGGTGGCATGAGAGGAAATGCATACGCAAAAGCCAGGGTTTTTTAATGTTAAGGGATGTGTGCCAGTCTGGGGAGGAGCAGGTGGGCTTTTTCCCGTTCGTGTCCTTGGGGGTTAAGGAGGCCTTCCAGACAGGAAGAGGGAGTGGAAGCTACAGCCTGTCCGTGGAAGGGTTGCTGGGAAGGTTGCCATGTTTTCACTTTTTACACCAAGATGGCGCTCAACACATCATCCCGCTGAATCCTGACAACACACCAGGAGGGTGAGGCTGAGGACACGGGCTTAAAGAGGGGGACTTGCCCAAAGTCACACGGCTGGTGGGCCGCAGAGGCAGGGCCTGCACCTAACTCCCCAGGACAGCCACCCCACTCGAAGCAGGTCTGTGAAGCCGTGACCATGAGCCCCTAAGCACAGTGTGACCTTATGGACCACGTTGACTGCTCCTTGTTCCTCACTAGCAGACAGACTGAGGCAGGCACCAACAGTCAAGGAAAGTTTAACCAAAAATTGGGAAATACTACGCTCACTTAGGTGTTGTTTGGCACAGGGAGGAAAGCCATCATGTTTAAACTTTAACAGCGGAGTCATTTGCTATAGACGGATGTGAATGTGCTCTTTGGTGGAAACATTCTTACTCTCTGTCTGGGAGGGCATTGCCCCCCCAACACACCTGGTTTCCACACGTGCGTGTGTGAGTGCATGTGTGCGTGCGTGCGTGCTTCCTGCTGTGATACAGGTGTGCCTGTTCTATGCCCCGCAGGAGGACACTGGCCCCCGGCTCCTCTGCCTACCTGTGGAAACCCCCCAGCCGGAGCTCCAGCATGAGCAGCTTGGTGAGCAGCTACCTGCAGGTAATGCCCGAGAGGCTGGGGTTTCCCCGCCGTAGTGTCAGCCAGGATGTGTCCTTGCCCCTCACAGCTCAGGGCGATGTTCTCAGACACCTTTGTTGCGGCCAGAGCAACGAACCCTCAGTTACACCCACTATTTTCTAGAGTCCAGGTTCTTATGACCAAATAGAGCTTAAGCCCCTTAAAAAGTAAATTCTTTTAAAAGCTTTAAGGTATTTGAAAAGAAGCAGGTTAACATTCTGGTTAAAAGCGGCTGAGTCAAATCCCGCCTGTCACCTACCAGCTGTGCCCCAGGAAGATGCCTGACCCTCTGGAAGCGTCAGCTCTCTCATCCATACCAAGGGGATCGAAAAATCACTGTAGCTGAGCGGATAGTTGTGGGGGTGGGTGCAGGAGCACGTGTACTGTGCATAAGGGCTTGACACAGCAAGTGCTAAATAAGTGCTGGTGGGTAGGGTTAGTTTTGTTAGAAATGAATGTGTCAGAGTTGTATATAGTTTTGTGGGAAAGGCTGCTGAAATTAATCAACAAAACAAAATAAAGGGACTCAACATAAGCAGCATTAAGAGTAGAAAATGGACTAATCCTTCACCCTGTTTTGTGGTCTAATCACCCCAGGAGTTGTGGGCATAGTACATGGTGGACAGTAGTTTAAGTTATGTAAGTTAAGTTAGTAACATTTTTATGTTACTAATGCAGGAGGCTGAGTGGGAAGCAAGTTCTGAGTCTCGGGGCTCTCACGTGTGTGGCCCTGGGTGTTCAGGGTGTGCTGCTGGCAGGTGCTGTGAGCAAAAGGGTTCTCATCCTTTGAACAGCTCGATGGACTAACCTTAGGTCATGTAATTGCTATATTGTTACTTCTGTTCTCATTCAACTCTAAAGCTTTTCCAAATAGCCATGTAACTTCATCCCAAAGCCATGTTTTTGTTGTTTTCCTCCCCCTTTTCCCCTCCCCCCACCCCCAGACTCAGGAAATGGCCTCCAGCCTTGACCTGAACAGCCCCTTGAACAACGAGGCACTGGAGGGCTTCGACGAGATGCGGGTGGAGCTGGACCAGCTGGAGGTGCGGGAGAAGCAGCTGCAGGAGCGCATTCAGCAGCTGGACCGAGAGAACCAGGAGCTGCGGGCAGCCGTCACCTCACAGGGGGAGCAGCTCCAGGTGGAGAGGGAGCGGGCCCGCTCTGCAGCCGAGGACAACGTCCGCCTAACGCGCATGACGGCTGAGCTGCAGAAGCAGTGGGAGGTCACCCAGGCCACACAGAGCACCGTGCAGGAGCTGCAGAAGTGCCTGCAGGCCCTGGAGCCAGGCCCGGCGGAGAAGGAGGGGGATTCCCACTTGGCCCTGCAGCGGCTGGAGCCCATGCTGCAGCGCCTGGCGCAGGAGCTCGAGGCCACACGGGACGCGCTGGGCAGGAAGGACGAGCTTTCGGCTAATGTCCCAGGTCCGGGCATGGCTGAGCAGAAGGCAGATGTGGCACTGGACACAAAGGGGCAGCCAGAGCTCGACCCCAGTGCCTCGGCCCTGACGATCCAGCAGCTGGGGGAGAAGCTTCACGCCCTAGAGCGGGAGAGCACCAAGGTCCAGGAGCTCAACAGGCAGCAGAGCACGCAGCTGGAGCAGCTGGCCAAGGAGCTGCAGCTGAAGGAGGAGTCCCGTGCCGGCCTGGAGCGCGTCGTCAGGGAGATGGCCTCGCTGCAGGAAGAGCTATCCGCGAAGAGGAAGGAGGCCACCCAGCTCCGGCGCCGGCTGCAGGAGTCGCTGGCCCACATGAGCACCATGGAGGAAGAGCTGGCAGAGGTGAGACAGGTCGAGCGGCAGCAGCGTGAGGAGAAGGAGCTGCTGCAGCGCGAGGCCAGGTCCCTGACACGGCAGCTGCGGCTCCTGGAGACCCAGCTGGCACAGGTGAGCCAGCGCGTGAGCGACCTGGAGGAGCAGAGGAAGCAGCTCATCCAGGACAGAGACCGCCTCAGCGAGAAGGTGGGGACGCTGGAGCGGCTGGCTGCGCAGCCAGGTCCCGGCCTGCCCGTGGCAGCGGAGAGCAGTGAGGTGCTGGCCCCCCAGGATTCCGCCCTGCAGGAGGGACCGATGGATGGTACTACAGTTCAGGGTAGCAGCCGGGAGGAGGAGCTGCGGCAGGCCAACATGGAGCTGGAGAAGGAGCTGCAGAGCGTGATGGCCCGTAACCAGCGCCTGGAGGACAAGCTGCGTGCCCTGCAGGCGGATTACCAGGCCCTGCAGCAGCGGGAGGCAGCCATCCAGGGCTCCCTGGCCTCCCTAGAGTCCAAGCAAGCCAGCATCCGGCACATGGGTGACCAGATGGAGGCCAGCCTCCTGGCTGTTGTGAAGGCCAAGGAGACCATGAGGACCCGCATGGCCGAGAAGGAGGCTGCCCTGCAGAGCAAGGAGGCCAAGTGCCAGCAGCTGCGGGAGCAAATGGAGCAGTGCCGGCAGCTGGCAGAGGCCCGGGAAGGGGAGTTCAGGGCTTTAGAGAGCCAGTGCCAGCAGCAGACCCAGCTGATCGAGACCCTCAGAGCAGAAAAAGGCCAACAGGGGCTCAGCCCACCTCAAGAAAATGCATCCCAGGAGCTAGCTGCCCAGCTGGCCCTATCTCAGGCGCAGCTGGAGGTCCATCAGGGGGAGGCTCAGCGAGTGCAGGCTGAGGTGGTGGACCTCAAGGCCAAGCTCCAGGCAGCCCTGGGTGACCGAGAGAAGGTGCAGAGCCAGCTGGGTGTGACTGAGGCGGCTCTGCAGGAGCACAAGGCCCTTGTGCAGCAACTGAAGGAGCAGAACGAGGCCCTCAACAGGGCGCATGTCCAGGAGCTGCTGCAGTGCTCAGAGCAGGAAGGGGCCCTGCAGGAAGAGCGGGCCCAGGAGGCCCATCTGAGGATGGAGGAACTCCAGGCCCTGCAGGAGGAGCTGTCCCAGGCCAAGTGCAGCTCCCAGGAAGCCCAGCTGGAGCATGCCGAGCTGCAGGAGCAGCTGCACCGGGCCAACACGGACACCGCCGAGCTCGGCATCCAGGTCTGCGCACTGACCGCGGAGAGGGAGCGGATGGAGGGCGTGTTGGCCTGCACCGTCCAGGAGCTCCGGGATGCCAAAGAGGCAGCCGCCAAGGAGCGAGAGGGCTTGGAACACCAGGTGGCGGGGCTGCAGCGAGAGAAGGAGAGCTTGCAGGAGAAGCTGAAGGCTGCCGAGGAGGCAGCTAACTCACTGCCTGGCCTGCAGGCCCAGCTGACCCAGGCCGAGCAGCGGGCCCAGGGCCTTCAGGAGACTGCACACCAGGAGCTTGACACCCTCAAGTTCCAGCTGAGCACCGAGATCATGGACTATCAGAGTAAACTTAAGGTAATCCTAGCCTTGGCCATGGGCTGCACCTGTCTCCTGCGGCAGGACCTGGTGGGTTCATGAGGGGATAGGACGCACCTTCAGCCTGGGCACATGAGGGCCCAGGTGTACATAGTCCCGTCCCGCCATCATAGCTCACAGCATCCTCTCTGCAGGAACATGCTAGGGGCCCAACATTGGGGAATGATGCCTTAACCCAGAAATCTAAACTCAAGGCCATGGCTCACAAGTTTGGCCCAGAGAATTTTTTTAAAATTAATAGTCAGCATTCAAAGAGCAGGATGTTTACACATTCACTTTGGGCACTTGTTTCAAAATCTTGAGAGATTCCATATATATATATATATATTGATTTTAGAGAAGAAGGGAGAGGAGAGAGAGAGAAACATCAATGATGAGAGAGAATCATTGATCCGCTGCCTTCTGCACACTTCCTACTGGGGATTGAGCCTGCAACCCTGGCATGTGACCTCCTGATTCATAAGTCGACGCTCAACCACTGAGCCATGTTGGCTGGGCTGGAATCTTGAGCGACCTTAAAGCCTATGCCCTCCTCGGTGCGGCAGCGGTCAGCAGGAGCTGGGCGGGCACCGCCCACATTAAAGGGGACCTGCATCCTCTGGTATTTTCCTTGCGATCCTTCATGCAGTTACCCAGCCCGTTTGGGCATGTTTGAGACCCCTGCTGTCGCCTCTGTGACCAGAAGTCCTGGCTGCCTCGAGGCCTGTGTCTGTCCCCTCAAGTGCCATTCTGACAGCAGGTGCAGTCGGAGGGAACTGACTCAGTTATCACAGGGCCTTGGAATAGATGAGAACAGTGGTTACCACGTGCCTCTGATGCTGCACAAAGAAAAGGAGTTAAAAGTGAGGACAGGGATGACTGTTCTCATCTGTTCCAAGGGCCCCGTGGTAAATGGCATTTGTTTGCACAGATGTGCCTCCTATCGCCCCATCCCATGCAGCTCCATGGGGCTCAGAGGCCACATTTTCCCTTGCAGAAATGAAATTCCAAGTTGGGGGACCACGCTAAGTCTCTCAGTAAACTTGAAAGAGTTTTATTACCAGTGAAGCCTGACGCCTATTGAGTTTGGGGGAAAAGAGGGAGTTAGCTTGTTTTTACCCATTTGGGGAATGTGGCTGAGGAGTTTCAGAGCAAGGACCCCACTTCTGAAATCCCTTTCTCGTCCTCTCCAGACTGCCAGCGAAGAGTGCAGGAGCCTCCGGGGCCAGCTTGAGGTACGGGGCCAGCAGCTGCGGGCTGCCAAGGAGGCCGTGGACAAGCTGGAGGTAGGCCTGGCGGGGAGTGCCCCTCTGGGAGCCCTGATCAGAGGCTGGCACCTGGGAAGGGAGACCGATGTGGTGGCCTCCACCTGGTCGTTTCCTCTCTCAGAGTGTGGACCCATCAGGGGCGAGGGGATCTGGTTTGGTTCTTACTGGACCATTGAGGGGCTCCCCATAGGACTTCCCATTCCCAAGCTGAAGGGGTCATCAGTCCACTTTTGCAGACACCCCGAGTTTGTATCATGGTCCCTTTCACTCCCCGGACACCTGGCTGGAGCTGCCAGATGTGTTTTTCACGCAGCCTCTGGCAAGGAAAACGTCCTCTAGTCATCCCTGCAGATGTGCTCTGAGTCAGTCTGAACCGAGCAGGGACGAGGGTGGTGCTAAAACCACAGTCTTCAGGGCAGCGACTTTTTTCACTGAATCCTGCTTCCTGCCACCCACCCCCAGCCCCACCCTGGAGATCCTGACCCCTGCCTCCCCTCCAACCACCACAACCAGTTGCCATTGATGCTTAAGGGACATCATTACAAATCGGAGTGTGTCACATGCCACAGACATAGAGCAAAGGTTCTTGGCCTCATTTAAAACCAAAAAACAAAAGTCCCTCCAGTTGGAAGGGACCAGCCAGATGGTGAGAGCACAGCTGTCGCCTCGTGGCGTCTGACACGTGCTTCTGCGCCTGCCGTCCTGTGCCAGGCCACCCAGGCAGACCTGGGAGAGAAGCTGAGCCGCACCAGCAGCCGCCTCTCGGAGTGCCAGGCCGTCGTGCTGAAGAAGGACAAGGAGGGGGCCGCCCTGCGCGAGAACTCGAGAACTTGGACAGGTTAGTGACGCGGCCCTCCCACGCGCCCCTCCCACGCGCCCAGTGGCAGTCTTCAGGGAAGGGGTGTTGGGTGCAGTCATTTAGAAAGTCAGCCACTCGTGAAACAAGTCCTTTTTCAAGAAAAGCCACAGACCAGAAAGTGCTTGTGCCGGAAGCATGCCACCGAGAGCCTGGCTGTCGCCCCTCACAGTCCTGTGGACGGCAGGCCCTTCCAATTCCACTTCCTTACCCCTGGCAGGCGTATTTCAGTCTGGTAGCATTGTGTTTTAGAAAAACTAACAGCAAGTAAAAGTTGGGATGTAATAATGGCAATAAAAGCAGCAGACGCTTAAATAATGCCTGAAATGGAGCAGGCACCGCCTTAAATACTTCGCATCTAGTTGCCCACTTAATCCTCCCAACAGTCCAATGAGGGTGGTATTATTTATTCCCATTTTATAGGTGGGAAGAATGAGGCTCAGAAGAGTTCATTTGCCCTCCCAGGTCAGACAGGGTATAAGCGATGGTAGGATTGGAACCCAGACACTTTGGGCTCCAGAGGTCTGTTTTCTCAACAATATCCGGACAGACACATGTTCTGTTTGACTGGGGGGCGCTGGTATTGGTGCGCGTGTGCGTGTTTCCCCCGCTATGCAGGTGCCTCGAGCTCTCCCTCATTTCCCAAGCGCGTCCCGACAGTGAGCGAGTGCACCAGGGACCCTGGCCGGCTTGTGTCCCCACAGCCGCTCTGGTGCTGTGTCTGTGCAGAGCACATCACGCTCTCACCCTTTCCTCATGGTTTTTTAACCTTATAGTTGGGGCCTATGTGTGGCCAGCCCCTGCGCCTCCCCCTGTGCCTCCCCGAGCCTCCTCGTCTTCAAGCTTAGGGACCACCTGGAGCACGAGCCCGCCGCCTGGCGATGGGGCCCAGCTTGTCCTGCCAGGCGCTGATGAAAACAGGTGTAGCCGGAGGAGATGCAGGGACCGAATTGCACGTGTGCCCAGCTCCACCCCCAAGGCAGGCACCCGAATTGTGCCGAGGGTTTTACTTTTCTACTCACCCTCCTCCCCTTCTCCTCGGAGGCTGGGCCCACCAGCGGGAGACGCAGCGCATGTTGGGTGTTCAGTGGCTAGACATGCATTCCTTCCCACCTGACTCCTGGCTCCGTTAGCCAGGTCACGCTCACCTGGCAGTGTAAATAGAACTTCTACGTTGGTGATGGGTTGTTGTCTTTAATGCAGTAATAGTGGTTGGTTGTGAGATCTCACACCATTGTTTTAGCTGCTCCAAGTTGCATTTTCCATGTGGCAGGAGTGGATTTTTTGTTATCCACTGTTTGAGCAGGCCATGCTGGTCTGTGTGTACTCATTTAAGTGGACAGGGTCTAGTGAACAGCCTCCTGACGACATTATGCTGGAGGTGAAAAGGCCGGATGAGATGCAAATTAGTTTGTCTCTGCAGAGCCCTCTGTCTACTGGAGCTTTTATAAACATCTTGTGGTCCTTGAGATTTAGAGAGCATCTTTGGCAAACCACTGCCTTAGGGGATAGCCAGGCTGAAGGTGGGGTGGGCAAGGGCTGGCCAACAGCGGCTCAGCCAGCACATCGGGCCGTGCCCGTGGAGCGCCTGCTGTGTGCCCGGTGCCATGTCTGTGTGTAGCGTCACAAAGACACATGAAGACTGTCCTCCATGTGGTCACCTCCAGGAAGCTGTGCCCCTCTGTCCTTTCTGTCCTCACTCCTTTTCGTCTTGCAAATACTCCCCCTCCCCAGCACTAGTCCCTGAGCCTTGTCCTAGAGCTCCTCTTAAAACCTCATTTCAACTCATCCTGGGGTGTTCGGGTGCCTGCGGTTACCTGCTCTTCCAGAATTCCCCTTGTGTTTGGTGTGAAGAGTTTGGGTGTGTGAGGGGAGTCCTCGAGGCCAGGGGCGTGCCCCACCTGTGAGCAGGCAGTGCCAAGGGGCTCCTTCACTGTGGGGGGAGGCTGGGAGGGCCGCAGGACCCTATTAGAGGCCCAGTGGAAGCGGGAAGGAGTGGGGAGTCAGGGAACGTACCACTCCCCCACCAGGACCCAGAAGGAACTTGAAAGAGCCACGGCAAAAATCCAGGAGTATTGCAGCAAACTCTGCCAGGAGGCGAGAAGCCGGGAGAAGAATGACCAGAAGATGCTGGCGGACCTGGATGACCTGACTAGGACCAAGAAGAACCTGGAGGAGCGGCTGATAGAGCTGCTCAGGTGAGTGTTGGTGTTTCTTTAAAGACATGCAACTGTTCGGAACGGAACTCTTCATGGAAATGCGCTCCCACCCCATCTGCCACCCCCCACCCCCCCACACACACACACATACACATAGACACAGACACTCACGTACAGGCTCTGCTCAGGCCCATGGCAACCTGGTGAGAGTGGATTTCGGTTTCACAATTTTTTCAATTGCCTTATAATTTTCCTAAATTAGATTCATGCATTGCATGGCAATATTTTCTTAGATCTCTTTCGTCTGTGGGTGTCCCCACTATCTCTCTTAACTTTTTTTTTCTTTGCAATTTATTTTTGAGAAAGCCAGGTCATTTATCTGGTCATTGCATCCCCATGAGGTCATCTAACGTGTTCCTCCAGCCTTTGTATTTCTATAAATTGGTGGTCAGAGCAGTGCTTCTCAGCCCTGACTGCCCATTAGCATCACTGGAGAGCCATTAAAAAAAACAAAATACTTACATCCAGGTCTCACCCAGAAAAAGTGGGAATGGGTTCCAGGCATCAGCAAGCCAGAGCCAGAATCTCTGCTCTGCTAGAGGCTGGCTCAGACTCAGGTTCACACTTGTGGCCAGGACACTGCATGGAATTGGCTTAGAGTTCTGAGGCGTTCAAGGGCCACATCGATCTGATTAGCCCTTTCTTTGAATGTTAGTTGCCATTGATAAGCAATGCTAGACCTAATCATTTATTTGGGGTTGCAAAACGGTGATGTTAAATTTTAACTAAGGTGGACGTTTAAAAACGTCGCCCACATGTCATCAATGTGCAGACCTGAGACCTGAGCACAGAAAGCTTCCCCCGATGGGTGAGGAGGAAGCCCAGGTCCGCGGCATTCCCACATTCCCAGGGTGTGGGTGCCTGGCCTCCTGGGACAGAGAGGACAAGTTGTGGAGCAGCCGGGAGAAATGCTGGTCCTGACAATGTCTTGTGTGCTGGGAAAGCCAGTCGATTCCATGTTCTGGCTTTGGGGGTTAGGAAGTTGGTCTGGGGTTGCTGTGAGGTCCCTGGCTGGGTGGAGCCTGTTTCCCTCAGGGCTGAGGTGGCTCTGGTGTTGGTCATCAGGGCTGAGGTGCTGCTGGGCCACGTTAGGCTTTAGGATGGTGACTGGGGTTCCATCCGGGAAAGAATTAAACTCTCCCGTGTCAGAAGCCGGGAGCCCCGAAAGTGACCAATGGCAGCAGTAAGGATGTCTCTGTACACGTCTTCCCTGGTGTGCCGGGCACATTCGGATACTGCCAGGCCTTTCTCAAAAGCCCCCGCTTCTTTCAGACTTACTTCCTGGGGTGACTGCTGTCCCTCGGGGGAACACGGGGTGACAGACATCATTCAGGCTGGGAAAGCTTTGATCCCCTGCAATGATTAGATGCTACTTGAACCATGAGCCATAAATGCATCGAGGCCCCGAGCACATTGGAGATGTGAGAGGGCAGTGTGCTCGTGGTCCCTGGCTCACAGCACACTGTCGGGCAACCACGACAGCACGCTGGGGTTCAGCTCCCGGCGGCCTCGTGCACTGTCATCTAGACGCCTGAGCTGTGTCACCCTGGCCCGTGCCGGCCGCTCTGCAGGTGCCAGAGCCTTTTCTGCACGTCCCAGGTCACCTCTGTGCCTTGACGTGTGTGGTGCTGGTGAAGGGCCTGCACAGTGGAGGGGCCTGTGGAGTCGGTGTGCTTCCAGGGTACAGGTGAAGTTTCCTTCTGTGTCTTGGGGGATTTGGAGTCAGTTTTTAAAAATGAATCCGGAACAATTCTATTGTTTTCATGGATTCCTTCTTTTTCCTGACGTGGCTCTGTCCCAGGGACAAGGATGCACTCTGGCAGAAGTCCGATGCCCTGGAATTCCAGCAGAAGCTCAGCGCTGAGGAGCGATTCGGGGACTCGGAGGTGAACCACTGCTTTGACTGCAAGCGCGAGTTCAGCTGGATGGTGCGGCGGCACCGCTGCAGGTTAGCAGGCCGCACGCTGGCCAGCACCGCCCCTGGCAGAGCCTGGAACAGGGCAGGCAGCCGACGGGCCGGCCTGAGGCTGTGCCCACCAGGACCACAGTGCTTTTTGGTTGTAAGGGACCTGGGCGAGGAGGGTGTCTTAGGCAGGGTAATAGCAGGACCCCAGGGGATCCTGAAGGGAAAGAGCCTTGCATACAGATGTGTGAGTGGAGTTAGGGGACCCGAGGGGATGTGGAGCACCCAGACCAGCAGCCCTGACCCTCCCTCAGCCTGAGGGACCAGAAGGGGAAGGGTATTACTGGAACCCAGGCCCGTGGGGCTTAAGCTTCCCTGGAGGAGCACAGAGCAAAGACCCCTGGGGCCCAAAGAAGAGCAGACAAAAGCGGGTCTCCAGTGGTGGCAGAGGGACATCGCACAGGCCTGGGGTCTTTCTCTCAGGGCCTCGGCCACACCCGGATCCTGTGTCAGGGAAGGTGGTCTTGACCACACACTTTATCCCCCAGCCTCCCACAACCTTAGGAAACAAAACATTCTCCCACTAAACCAACCAGGATGGCTTTATTGGTATCTTATCAGATGGGCCTTACGGCCACATTCTAAAGTGGGGGCAGAGCCAGGTGTGACAAGAGCCATGTGGTGTCTAGAACCCGACCCAGAGCCCCTTTCTGGTGCTGAGCAGATGGCACGAGGCCCACAACACCGTCCTCACAGCCCATGCTTGCTTGGTCCCCAGGATATGTGGTCGCATCTTCTGTTACTACTGCTGCAACAACTACGTGGCGACAAAGCCCGGGGGCCGGAAGGAGCGCTGCTGCCGAGCCTGCTTCCAGAAGTTCAGCCCTGGCTCCCCGGACAGCACCAGCTCGGGCACCAGCCAGAGCCAGCCCAGTCCCACTCTGTCGCCGGCCCAGGCTGGGCTGCAGGCCGCTGGAGGCCAAGGTCAGACTCCTGCTGCCGCCCTCGGTGTTCCCCAGGTGCCATCCCCACACCGCTGCCCCATCTTGGCTAGTTAGCTGCCACAGCTCAGTTCAGTGTTTTCCAAACCTGGGCACTAGGGAGGTATAAAAGTGTAGTCAACCAATTTGAGACTTTCTTTATGATGCACTTGGGATTGAACAAGAATTGAAAAGGGAATACCTTTCTGCCGGTGTGATTCAGCGTCGTGAACATGAGGTCTGTGTCCCTGTTAGCTCACATACTACCAGTGACCGTACCCCACACCCGAGAGACGCTGTCTCTCGCAGCCTGGGCCCCGACGTCCCACCCTCGCCCCCAGAGTGACTGAAGGCCAGGAGCTGTGTCTGGAAATGACCGCCTCCTGCACGCCTTCCTGGGGCTCACGGTCTCTCAGTGGCCAGGGAGGGTGTGTTCTCCTTCGTGTCTTTCACTCGGTGCAATAAAAGGAAGCGGGATTTGCTGCTCCTGCTCCCAGCACGGCCCACCTGGCCAGCTCAGGCTGCTCTCGGGGGCTGGCCTGTGGGCGTCCCGGGAGGCAGAGCCGGCATGGCCAGGGCTGAGGGAGTCTCATCTCTGCTCAGGCAGCGCTGCCCACTGGGCTGCTCCCTGTGGACTCCTTGGCTTCTGCCTGGACCCAGGGCCGCAGTGTCTTTTGTTTAACTGGATCCTCGAAGTTGGCAGCCTCATCACCCACAGTGGGTACAAAGAACCGCTTGGCACAGCTTTAGTATTTCTTCACCTCTTTTGCGAGTCCTTTATGTGTTCTGGATACAAGTTATTTACAGATATGTGTTTTACAAGTATTTTCTCCCAGTCTACAGCCTGTCTTTTCACTTCCTTTCAACAGCACAAGTTTATAATTTTGATGAAGGCCAGTCAATCCATTTTTTTTTCTCATGGATCAATTTTTTTTTTATTTTGTGTATCATATGTATCTTTGGTTAACCCAAAGACTCAAAGATTTTTTCAAGTTTTCCTGGAAGTTTTACAGTTTGAGGTGGCATGTGTGGGCCTCTGACCTGTTTGGAGCTCATTTATGGATGTGGTGCAAACTCTCGGTAGAGATTCATTCTTTTGCACATGGTTGTCTCATTGTTTCACTACCGTTGGTTGGAAAGTGTATTCTCTTCCTGTAGAACTGCCTTTGCATCTTTGTCAGAAATCAGTCTAGTCTTCCAACCCGTGAACATAGTACAGCTCTCCGTTCATTACTGTCCTGTTTTATTTCTCTCAGTGGACATCACTTTGGGTCCCTGATGCTCCTTTGTGTCTGGGTCTGTACAAAGAAACCAATCCCTGGCCCCCTTTTTCAGCCGCTCCTCAGCCCTTTTATTATGTAGACTTCGGGCAAGAGGAAGAACAGAACGTTCCTTCTAAAGCACGGCCCGTCCCAGGAGCCATGTGGAGGGCCCGTCCCAGGAGCCATGTGGAGGGCCCGTCCCAGGAGCCATGTGGAGGGCCCGTCCCAGGAGCCATGTGGAGGGCCTGTCCCAGGAGCCATGTGGCAGGGCCCGTCCCAGGAGCCATGTGGAGGGCCCGTCCCAGTATCCATGTGGCAGGGCCCGTCCCAGGAGCCATGTGGAGGGCCCGTCCCAGGAGCCATGTGGAGGGCCAGATGGGAAACTGGTTGCTCGCCCGTCCCAGGAGCCATGTGGAGGGCCCGTCCCAGGAGCCATGTGGAGGGCCCGTCCCAGGAGCCATGTGGCAGGGCCCGTCCCAGGAGCCATGTGGCAGGGCCCGTCCCAGGAGCCATGTGGAGGGCCCGTCCCAGGAGCCATGTGGCAGGGCCCGTCCCAGGAGCCATGTGGAGGGCCCGTCCCAGGAGCCATGTGGAGGGCCAGATGGGAAACTGGTTGCTCGTAGGAACTGGAGCCTTCTTTTTGCTCTGACTCAGTGGTGAGTGTTCTGGCGGCCACAGAGGGTGGCCCTGTGCCAGGGCACTGGGGTCACTTGTTTTGATTTCTGATATTTCCTGTCTCCTCTCGTCTCTCTGCCTTCCTCCCTCCCTCCCTCCCTCCCTCCCTGTCATTCTTGTTTCTTCTTTCTTTCACCTCAGACCTGCCATCACATTTTCCATGACGTATGCAAGAGGGTGTTTGTGGGTGGGGACGGGCACAGGAACACGCACAGGGCATCCTTGCTGCCAAGTGGCCCGCAAAGCCCAGCACCAGTCCCCTGGTCAGGACCACAGTGGCCGCTATAAGTCCTTGAGCAGAGGGAGCCCCCCCCCCCCCCCCCTGGATTGGGATGAAAATGCAGGCCAGACAGAATTCAAAGAGGCATAGAAGGGCCTATCTCACAGATCGAGGACTCGGCAGCACAGAAGTGCGTTTACTTTTCCGTTCGGGTCTTTCCTGATAAGGTTTTGCTACATGGTTTCCCTTCTAAACCAGGGGCTTCAGAGGCCGTGTAAGAGCGTGAAACCTCTCCAAGCCCCTGACTGGAGGGCTGGAGGGAAATTAAGCTGTGCGTCTAGTTTCCTCTGTAGTCCCACTCTGCTTTTCTGGCTCTTCCCAGTAGCCACGTCCCGACAGCCATTCCTCGCGCATCTGGGCAGAGGAGCTATCGTTGGGTGATTCCTCACTGTGTGTCCCGGTGGCCTGTCCTGCGTGGCTGCACCCCTCACGCCCCCAAGGCCCCCTCCCCTCCTGTGCATGACCGTGTGTGTTTCTCCTCTCTCCTGACTGGCCTCCGCGGTCCAGGCGCAAACCCAGACTTCAGGTCACCAGACGACACTGTGTTCGACATCATCACGGACGAGGAGCTGTGCCAGATACAGGAGTCGGGCTCCTCCCTGCCTGAAACGCCCACCGAAGCCGACTCTCTTGACCCCAGCATGGCCGAACAGTGAGTAGAGGTCGCCGCCATTTCCCGAGTGCTCGTTCAATGCCTGGCCCTTGCGCTGGCTTATCAAAGGACCAGGAAAGTCTGGAGCAGCAGTTCTCAACCTGTGGGTCGCGAACAATGAAAATACACCCTGCATATCAGATATTTACATTACGACTCATAACAGTAGCAAAATGACAGTTATGAAGTAGCAACGAAAATAATGTTATGGTTGGGGGTCACCACAACATGAGGGACTGTATTAAAGGGCCGCGGCATTAGGAAGGTTGAGAACCACTGGACTCTGGAGGGAGGATCGCTGTCCTTGCTGAAGGGAAGGGGCCTCGGCACAGTGCTGGGGAGCAGTGGCCCTCAGGGAGTTCAGGGCTCGGGATGGTCACTGTTGACCTTGACAGAGACGTCCCGGGAAAGTCAGTGGTCCCGGATTTCAGCATTAAGGCCTTCCTGGGCGTGGGCAGCTACAGTAGCCTGCTCAGGCTGCCATAACAAAACACCCAGACTCAGTGCTGACACGCCGGAGATGAGTTTTCTCACTGTTCTGTAGACTGGAAGTCCAGGTCCAGGAGGTGGCAGTTTGGTTTCTTCTGGGACCTTTCTCCTTGGCTTGCAGACCATGACCGTGCCTCCTCGCGTGGTGTCTGCACGTCACCTTGGTGTGTCCTGCCTCCTCCTCGCACAGGACACCACTCAGGTTGGATGAGGGCCCATGGTCCAAATGCAGTCACTTTCTGAAATCCGGCGGTTTAGGACCACAGCATGAGTCTTGGTCTTGCCATCTCGTATTGATCTCTCTGTTCCTCTCTTCCTCCCCGACTTGAGAGGCGGCTGTCACCCAGGATTTCTGCTGCACGGGAGGGGATGCATTTAATCATCATGGGACTCTCGACAGGAGATTTTAGGCGTAAGGGCACCTCCGTATCCAGTGTTCTTTTACTAAAGAGTGACTACACATACCATGGTGTGGCCTCATGGTTAAAGCCATCCTGATCACACAACCAAGAGAGCCCCTGCTCATGTCGCTTCTGTGGCTTTGGGCCTTTTCCTTCTGGAACCCCAGAATTCTTCCCGGACTGCAGCAGCCTGCGCGTTCTCCCCCACCCTCACAGCCCAGCGGTCCCCAGGGCGTGTTCTGTCCCATTAGCTAAGTCGCTGTCTGCCGTCCTCACCTGGCCCCTCTTCACTGACGGCGCCTCGCCTCCCAGCCAGGTGATGGTCAGCTGAGCAGGACCGAGCTTCGGGCCTGGGAGGGCAGCCTCGGCTGCAGCTGCATGAGAAAGTGAGCCCCCTGCAGCCTTCTCTCCCCGGCCCCTCACCTTCCCCTTTCTCAGCAGGAACAAAAACAGAAGGTGTTCTGAGTGCTGACAGATATGTGCGCGTCAGTCACGGGAATCAGGAAGTGTCCCAGGGAAGGAAGCTGCCAGCGCTTCTGGGAGGCTGGCCTGCGTTGTGATGTGTAGGGCTGAGCTGGCATGTCTGCTGTGTGCCCATTACCTGGCACCTAGCGGCCCCTTTGTCTTCTCCAAGGTAAACCACTCCAGATGCCCAGATGATACTGAGCTTCAGCTCACCCACACAGCATCATGGCCGGTAACACTGTAGAGCTGATGCTTCGTGGTCATGTGCTTTGGGGAGCTGTGGTGGGTTTGTCACCAACCGGGAAACTTGATGCCTGGTATCTCGGCAACAAAATGAGGACAGGATATGGTGATGCTGATTAAGGTTAGAACGCCACAGTGTGCTTGGGTTAACCAACAGCTCTGCCTTCGGGTAAGTGGAGCTGGCAGGTACCTTGGGCCCGTCAGCTGCATAAAACCTCACCAACTTTTGGGGGAGGAGAAAGGCTCCTCACTGGGGTCCTAGCCCTCGTTCTGCGGTGTGAGCCTTGGCAGGTATTAATCTCTGAATTAGTTTCCTCGCCTGCAAAACGGTGTTGGCAGTTCCCAGGAACCACAGGCCGGGCACATGGAAGGTGCTGCCTTTGGAGCCCTTGGAGGAGAAGGCTGGAGTGCACGCCCTGACCACTCCCGGGCCGCGTGTTCTCTGCTCTGCCTCCACCCCTCTGGTGGGGCAGCTTCAGGTTTCCCTCCCGCAGCACCCTCTCCCCAGTCATCGCGCTCACGGAGGTCACCAGGCTGCTCCCAGGTAGCCCTGCATCTGGTCACCCTGTGCTCACACAGGACAGGGCGGCCCTCTGTGGTCTCTACCAAGCATTGCAAACATGGTCGGCGAGGAGCACTTTCTTTACCTTCAGACCCTGAGGCCACACCCAGGCAAAGTGCCCACACCCAGCCTGCTCCCCTGCTCCCCGTCCTCCCTCTGTCTCCCTTCCTTTCCCTGCCCCTTCGCCAACCCCTCCCCCACACACGCCCTCCCCCGTCTCCAAGGCCTTTGTGACGTGCTGGTGTGCGTGAGAATAAGGGGCTGAGGGTGGGGACTTCAACTTCCGGGCTGTTGTGTGGATGGAATGAAATCAAGACGCAAAAAGACGCAAAAGCCCTGCGGCCTCCGTGGGCTGTGCCAGTGTCTGTGGCCAGTAACGAATGGCGTGTACCCAAGGGGAGGACGTGGAAAGTCATCCCTACTCCCAGGTGTCTCAGATAAGGGCCTAGAGAGTGTAGGACCAGTGAGTGATGAGGCAGGAAGGTGAAGGATTCAGCTGCTGTGCGGTTCCTGGGGACAGGTGGGTGGGTTTGCTAAGCTGTGGAAGGGCCGGGGGTGGGGTACGGACTGGCGGTGCCTGGTCAGGGAGGAGCCAGTGGTCCCAACAGTGGCCCTTGTGTTGCCGTGGCCAGGCAGCCCCCAGCTTGGCCCTCGGAGTGCACTGACCGGGCCTCACTGTCGCTAGCCAGGGGTGTGGGTGGTGACGTGGGCCTGGGGGCCTGAGTGACTTTCCCAGGGACACAAGAGGTGGGGCTGCCACTGAGCCGGTGTTTGAGTGACCCAGGGCCCTGCTCTCCCCTCACCACCGCTTCCCCCCACAGAAGCCTGTGGAGATGCTGCAGGGCCTCGCCTCTTGTGCGGGGACACTGTCAGGAAAGTCAGGGGCTGGTGGCCCCGCTGTCAGAGGTGGAGGCACACAGGGAGATGACGGCAATGCCCCAGTGAAGCCCATTTAAAGAAGGTCAGCGTCGGCCTTGTCCCCAGGAAAAGAGCAGATCGTGTTGTTTGGGACGGACGCAGTGGTCGTGAGGCCCGAGTATAGGAAAGTCACTCATGGATGCACTGAGCGCGGTTATGAAACAGCAGGTGGGGTCACGCGGGCCCCGTGCCGCTGGCAGTGCGTGTGGCATGCCACGCCTCTCTGAAGGCGCGAAGCAAACCCTCCCAAGCCTCGCCAACACAGCAGCTTCCATTTTGTGTTGCTAGTTTTTGTCTTTTCAATTTACCGGGGTGACATTGTTAATGAGATTATAATAGGTTTCGAGTGTACACTTGAAACATCATCTGTATATTGTATTGTGTGCTCATCACCCTAAGTCTACCCTCCTCTGTCACCATATATTTGACCCCCCTGACCCTCATCAACCTCCCCCCACCCCTCTTCCCTCTGGCAACCACCATACTGTTGTCTGTGTCAATGAACTTTTTATTTGTTTCTTTTGTTTGTTCACTTGCTGCCTTCTGTGTTATGTCCTTCACGGTGAGTGAGAACATGATTCCTGCCCTTCTCCATCTGATTGACTTTGCTTAGCATGTGACTCTCAGGATCCATCCACGCTGTCGCAGATGGCAGTGTTCCATCCTTCCTTGCGGCTCAGCAGTATTGCTGGTTCTCGGGACAAAGAGCAGGCACTTCTGCCATTGGGAGCCCTCCTGCCCGTGAATGCGAACTGTGCCGTGTTCTGTACGCAGGGTCTCCAGTCCGCAGCCAGCCCTGGGAGGTCGGCCGTGGTACAGTCCACGTCTCACCAAAACAAAGGTGAAGAGATTACCACGTAGTGACGGGCAGAGCTGGATCCAGGTCTGGTCTATCTAAACCTCAAAACCACACTATTCAGCCCATAATTCTGCCTGCGTAACAGCTGATGTCAGCTGTCCTCCTCATTTCGGCGAGTGACTGGTGACTCATGAACCAAAGAGGCAACTTTAAGCCTATTGAGCAGAGAGTTAGGATCTAGTAGACACAACACGCACAGTGTCTGACATTTAAAACTCTGCCTCATGCCGTGACCACAGTATGGAGGTTAAACAAATGCACCTCACATGGTGGGCAGGAGGTTGGAAACCACAGCCAAGGAGCTGGGTGGTGTTCACTGGTATATTCCACGTCCTGGGTAGAGCAGTGCCCTGAGAGTTTGCAATCTTAACTGCTTTCTTGTGCCCTGGGCCCACAAATAAGCTCTTGGCCTATCCCAGGCATGCCACATTAAAGTGGAAAGTGCCCAAGGGGTAAAAGTAGTTTGGAGACTTTTAAAAGTTTTATTTCTTAGTCATGAAAATCATATGCTGTTTGACATATGTGTGGAAGAGAGAATTACATACACATAAAGGATTTGTGTGCATGTATATGAAAGGCATAGGATATCTGTGTTGTTGGTTTTTAAAAAAAAATTTTTATTGACTTCAGAGAGGAAGGGAGAGGGGGAAAGAGGTGGAAACATCAATGATGAGATAGAATCATTGATTGGCTGCCTCCTGCACACCCCCTACTGGGGACCAAGCCCACAACCCAGACATATGCCCCAACCTGGAATCGAACTGAGACCTCCTGGTTCATGGGTCAATACTTAACCACTGAACCACATCGGCCAGGCAGATCATTCAATTTTAAAATGAGCAGACCCAGCATAGACTCCTTCTCAGAACACTTCTTAGATTCACGGTAATCTTAAACTTGGCTATGCACAGTTTCTAGCATTCTGTGGACCTCTGGGATTCTCAGCCGACTCAGTTGTTTTGGCCTGTTCATATTCCCTGGTGCAAGTCCTTCCAAGATTAATCACAGAACAAGAGCATAAAAGTTAACCCAAAAGTGAGGAGCCCAAAGGAAAGGGTCAGCACCTGTTCAAAGGAAAGGGTCAGCACCTGTTCTCATGGCTGCTCTCATCCCTGCCTCCCCGAAACTGGAAGAATCTCCTGTCAGCAGCTCTGTGGTCATGGAACCTCTTCAACCTTCAGTCTCAGTCTCAGTGAAGGAGAACCTGGGGTTTTAGAGTCACGCCATTCCCCCTGGTGTCAGAATTCTCGGAGATGGAGGAAGGAAACCCTCTACAGTTTCTAGCTCCCCCTGTGAGCTTTAGGCCAGGTGTTCAAGGAGAGAACAGGTGTGTTCACGCCTGAGAAGAAGCATTGCACACCAGCTGCAGCGTTGGGTCACTTCTCCGTGAAAATGCACAAGCTATAAACAAAGCCTTCCCCGTCGCCGCCAGAGGACACGGCATTCTGTGCTCCTGCAAGTTCCTGGGCAGCTTCTCTGAGCCCCAAAGCCTACAGCTGGAACATGCTGGTGCCCTCCGCTTGCTGGGAGGCGGAGCACGTCTTGGAAGTGTCCTCCGAGGACTTCGGCTGGCTCCAGGCTCCCACGTAAGGGAGGCAGCCAATGTCTTTCACAAGTTTCCAGAAGTTCTTCCGAAACTTCAGGCCAACAAAAGCGTAGAGCACAGGGTTGAGGCAGGCCCGCAGGTAGGCAATGGCCTCCGTCACGACGATGGCGTAGTGGTAGCTGGTCATGGTGTGGTACACCCAGCTCGTGCTGCCTATGAGCTTCACGAGAGTGAAGGGCGTCTGGGTCAGCAGGAACACAGCTACCACCAGGAAGATGATCTTGAGAGACTTGTGGTTCTGGAAGCCTCGGGCACGAAGCAGCGTCTTGATTATGACCGAGTAGCAGACAATCATGGTGAGCAGTGGCAGGAAGAACCCCAGAGTCATCTGGGTGGCGAGAACCACAGTGGAAATCGCCTCGTTGTGATCACAGACCCACTTGTCGTGCTCATGGACATCACCATAGATGATCTGTGGCAAGGCCAACAGCAGGGAGACCACCCAGATGGACCCGCAGATGGCCTTGCCCCAGCTCATCCGCTTCGCCTTCTGGTTATAGGCCTTTGTGGCCCGGACCACCGCCATGAAGCGGTCCACGGTGATGCAGACGAGGATGAGCATGGACGTGTAGAAGTTGAAAGTATAGACGCCCAGCAGGATTTGGCACATCACCTTGCCGAAGACCCATTCGTGCATGCCTGCGTAGGCCCAGAAGGGCAGGGTGCAGACAAACACCAGGTCAGCCAGGGGCAGGTTCACCAGGAACATGTCCGTCAGGCTCTTCAGCTTCTGGTAGAAGATGTAGATGACCAGCACCAGCGAGTTCCCCACCAGGCCACAGAGGAACACGGCCACGTACATGCAGGGCAGAAAGAGCTTCTTGAACTCCAGGAAGTTATTGTGCTCCTGTTTGTTGGCGTTGGACACGTTGAACACGCTTGCAAAATAGTCGTCATCCTCCATAGTGTCTGTTCTGATGAACACCTGTGAGTCAAAACACAGGAGTCATGTTTAGGCTGAGGGCCCACACCTGTCTTCCCACTGCCCCCTTGCCCAGCTCCGCCCTGCACAGTCTAGTACACGACACGGCCAGTTCAGTGGGGAAAATGCTCCAGTGGGACAGGGAATTCTTCATGAGCCTTACAGTTCTCAGGACTCACCCGCCTGGGAGACCATGCGCATCCCAGAAAACCTGTGCTCACTTCGGCCTCAAAGGGCACCTGTGGTGACATGGGGTCGGTGCCCTTTGGTAGAGCAGCACAGCAGGGCCTGCTACACCTGCCCAGGCCTCACAGCACGTGCCCGCCCATCCCGTGCCCCACCTGCTGTTACATTGGACCCCTGAACTACTCGTGAAAGCCAAGGCACGTGTTCCCCAGGAGGTGTCTGGGGGATGGCCCGTCCCTCCTGCCTTTTGCTCTCAACTACATAGATTTTAAAGGACGGCTGATAGAAAAACCAGGCAGAGAAATGGACGTGGCTGCCCAGCACTTGGGCTGAGCTGGCCCCTGACCAGGGATTGGGGAGTTCTCACACCCCAGCCTCATCTTTCCCCTTTATCGCCTGTCCCAGGGACAGTGTGCCCCGTCAGAGCCTCATTTCCTGAAGATACTTTGACCTTTAGGCATCTCTTAAGAGGTAGGTTTCCTTAGAAGAGAACATGGCTTTAGCTTTTATGACTAGCAGTTTAGGCTGAGGGGTCTCCTTTAACAAATGGGAGCCCTGGTTGAAATGGCCAGCTGGGTCGGTGGCCAGAGGCCGGTGGCAGGCCTTGCAGTGGGGCTTGTAGCTGAGTGCAAATAGCTGCCTCTTTTGCCTGGGACTCCCTGCCCTTCAAGGCCCACACTTCCCTTTGACCCTTCTCTTTGCCCTGTGACCCTGCCGAGGACCACAGGCAGGACATAACAGAGGTGATGTGACCCATGGCGTGGGCACGGGCACCTGCCTGCAGCAGCTTCGAGTTTGGAGTGCCAGGCCACTGGCCTGCAGATTCTCCACACACAGTGGCTCATTTCCAGGGACCCAGGGCTATACCTTGCCAGTACCTCAAGAAGATGGGTTTTTTGTGTTGCTGTTTTTTAAACGAAAACACAGGTATTCTTTATTGCAATTTCATAGTTGGAAGGAGGCAGGTATTTGGATTGGCAAAGTCAAAATAACCACCAGCAAAAAAAAATACAACAACCGGCCAGACAAGGGCATAAACAAGGAGGCCTCATCTCTCCTTTCTTATCTCCTCGAAGACTTCTGACTGGAAGTGGCATCAGCCCTGGTGCTGTCCCCTCAGTCTTTTCTGGGAACAAAGCACCCTTCACTGCAAGGAAGGGCCTTGCCTTTGGGTGAGACTACGCAATAAACAGTCCCTGCTTCCCGTCTGGCCGCGGTGTCTCAGTGGTTGAGCACTGACCTATGAACCAGGAGGTCATGGTTCGATTCCCGGTCAGGGCACATGCCTGGGTTGCATCCTCAATCCCCGGTGGGGGGTGTGCAGTAGGCAGCCAACCAGTGATGCTCTCTCATCGTTGATGTTTCTAATTCCCTCTCTGAAATCAATAAATCGGATTTTCTCAAAACCTTAAAAAATTACTTTCCCTTCTAGAAATGGGAAAACCATTTACTTCCATAACCAAAGTTCTATGTTTATTTCTGAAAATAAAAAATAAAAAAGGTAATATATGCAACTTTGGAAATAGTGTAAATGTCTAATAATAAAAAAATAGCTAATTATAATTCAGACAAAATAGAATATAACTAATGTTTAGTGCTTTTAATATTTTTAAAACGGTAACGCATTTGAATTGCTCAGAAGAGTATAAGCACAAACTTAGTATTGGCTGTTACTATTGCAGTGAGTAGGTGACAGGGGTATAGAATTAATCATGGTTCTTAACCTTTGATCATAAACCCCTTTGAGAATCTCATCGAGGCCGCAGACCTTTTCCTCAGAAATACGTACACACACTTGCACTCCTGGGGTCCGTGAGCCCTTTGACACTCTGCCACATACCCAACCACCCTGGTCTAAGAATCCACGATAAGCTATAGGGTTTTGACTATATATTTTTTAAAACAGAAAAATGACCAGATTTTATCAGCAGTTCGCTCTGGTTGGTGCAGACTTATTTCCCTTATATTTTCCAAAAGTTCTATAGTGGTGAACCATATTCCGAGATAGGAGCCTGTCGTATTAAATGCAAAAGAAACAAAAACAAAGGCTATTCAGTGAACAAACATAGACAGCGAGTCTCCTCATCTCCCGGGAGGGTCTGACTGCCGTTGCCCCCCAGGACCATTCGCTTCCAAGCACGTCCAGTGCCCAGGACCCATAAGTCATTTCTCTAACCCACGGCAGCAAGCAGGAGAGATGGGATCGGAACCTGGAGCAGCTGCGCGCTAAAGCCTGGGCATTTCAGGGCGGCTGCTCCAGGCAGGAATCTGAGAGCCCTGGCTCTTACCTATAGAGAGGAAGACAAATGACTCACCCACCAAGATGCCTTTTCAGTTTGTTCCAGAGATGAGCTGTGCTCAGCAGCAGGCTCTACCTCTGCCTCTCTGTGATGTGGTCCATGTTTCCGCTGAGTAGTTTTGAAGAACCCTCGGTTGCTGATTGGAAGAGGCCCAACCCATCTAGCAGATCAGAATCCACATGACCAGTCTGCACCCATGTAATTTGGGGTCAAAGATAGGAAGCTGTGGCTCCGTCACTGAGACCCCTCTGCCCCCGGGCTGGCGACCGACTCGCCTGCTGGGACCTGAGAGGGCTTTTATTTGTAAACCGATGGCATTCGAATCTTAAAATTCTTTCATTCACTAGTCATGCATCTCTTTGGAATAGTTTGGGTCTGGACCAATGCAGAGTGCATGCTCTGGTCTCGTTCTGTGTATGCGTGCAGCTCCAACGTGATAGCCACGGATTCTCAACCCTGCAGAACTGGTACCCCATTTAATAGGTGAGAACACCCAGGGCCATAGTTGAATTAGTCCCATGTGCACACAGCTAGTAACTGGCATTTCCAGGCTACAAACCCAGCTCCGTCACTGCCAGGCCAGTGAACCAGATGGCTTCTAGGTGAATGTGGGTCTGACATGGGATAAACCAGCCATGTCATTAGGACGAGTTCAAGAGCCGGAGTTGGAAGGACCTGAGCCTTGTCTCACACACGCTCGGCCGTGCTCTTCTCGCTTAGTAATCACTTGTGCCCCATGGGGCAAACCAGGTCTCGACCTGCTGCCCTCCACAAGTGCCTTTTGTCATCTGCCTGTTTGCAGTGTTGCTTGTTTCAAGGGCATTCCTTTTCTTGGAAACAAAACTAAGCTGCTTAAGGGGAAGTAGCCAGTCATATGCCTTGGCTTCCCACTGGCGTAGCTTCCCACTGGCGTACTGCAACATTTTCTAAACAGGTGAGGGGAGAACCGGAGTGGCATGGCAGCCGCCTGCCGCACACTTAGCAGGGAAGTCAGGCTGCGCTGACCTGCTCGCTCTTCCTCAGCACCTGGCACTCTCGAGCCAGAACTCTGGGCTGAGGCCGTCACAGCTGCTGGCAGAAGAGGCTGCCTGCAAGACTTTAGTGGGTGACAGGGCTGTGGAGGGTAAGAGGGCTGTGGAGGGTAAGTTAAAAGATCCTAACAACGGTAGCCTAACCAAAGGGCTAGGGAGGTGTGGGAGGGAGTTGGGTGTGGCCTGCACAGCGTCGCCCCCAGGTGTTGGTTGTGAGAATGGGCCTGCAGGTTTGTCTCTTATGTCAGACCATAGTTACCAAGTAATCAGAAATCAAAATACCAGAACTGTTCTTCTTCGCTTGGTTTTTAGGCAAAAGGAAATCAGTGACTAAAACAACAACTACTAGGAATTTACTTTAATCGTAAAATAAAATACCCCAATCCACAAAATGACTCACCCAACCTTGCAAACCGGGCTGTTCACTAGAGTCTCCTGCAGTGATGGGCACGTCCTGGGTCCGTGCTGTCCCGCACAGTGGCCACTAGCCCGTGTGGCTGCTCAGCACCTGCTGTGTGGCTAGTGCAACTAAAGAGTCACATTTTGTAGCTTTAAAATAATTTGGTGAATTTGGGTTTCAATAGCCATAGCTAGTGGCTATCTGTTGGACAGTGCGATTGTAAACCCAAGACCTCTGCTGCTCACAGGGCCCTGCTCACAGATGCAGGCTGCCCGGGGGACTGCAGGACTCTCATCGGTCAGAGCACCACTCCTAACTGCTGGGCTCGGCCAGAGCCGTAGATGGAGCCCCTGAGGAAGATGGTCAGCCAGACCCTCGGGCCATAGGGGCCTTGCAGGCATCCTTTCCTGCCCAGCACGTCCAAACGAGCGGGCCATCTGCTATCCAACGGCTGCAAAATTGACATACAGCAATTCAGTAAAAAAGAGCCAAGGCATTTTGATCTGTGGGAGGAAAATACTAGAGATTGCAGCTGCAGAAACCAAGCTGGAGGACCCCACCCGGGATCCCTCCTCCAGGCCGCATGAACCCCTGGACTGCATTGCCGGGGACTGCTCAGCATCACCTCGTCTGTGATGGCCACTTTCTTCTTACTTGGTTCTAACTTGGAGCCTTGCCCGGCTGGCGTGGCTCAGGGGTTGAGTGTTGATCTATGAACCAGGAGGTCATACTTCGATTCCCGGTCAAGGCATATTCCCAGGTTGCAGGCTTGATCCTAGTGTGGGGCATGTAGGAGGCAGCCAACCAATGATTCTGATCATTGATGTTTCTATCTCTCCCTCCCTTCCTCTCTGAAATTAATAAAAATATATTTAAAAATAAATAAGTAAATTGGTTGTGTGCTCCCTTGGGGGCATTTGAGACAGAAAACTGCCTTAGCCTGAGGCACCTAACCTGGACACTTACTGGGCACAGGCTGTGTGCAGGGCACGTGCCCAGGGATGTCGAGATGAGCGCCTCAGGGGGTGGAGCAAGTTGGAAGATACCTGTGGTGAAGACAGGTCCAGCTGGACTGGCCGGAGGCTCGGGGAAGTGTGGCATGCCGTCTCCCCACGAGGCTGCTGTGGCTAGCGTTAAGCTCCCAGGGCTGGAGCCTGGCGGGAGGAAGGTCACTTGTGGGCAGTGAGTTTGTCTCGCTCCTTTTCTTAGAAAAGCACGTCAATGACAACAGAAAGAAATGGGCCTGGGAGGGGATAGGCTGCCCCCTGGTGGCTGTGCTTTTGTTCCCTGTCATTCTCACATTTTTTAATCCTTGGGCATCTTCTAACACAGCTGCTTGGACAATTTCTACTACATCTCACAGTGAGAGTACATGTTACCTGACCACCTGGGTGTGGACATGTGTAGACTCCAAATCAGAACAAGAGCCTCATAAAACAATACTGAACCCTCCCCACATGCACTGGTCATTTCCGGTCTGTTTTCCTAATGTTGGCCATAACTTACTCACAACCTACTACGTGGGTTGTGACCCACTGTTTGAAAATCTATTGAAAACTACTCGCTACCTTCCCAACTTCATCGCCCACCCAGGCATTCTCTCCCCTCCTCCCCCCCAGCTCCCTCTCGCGGGGCCTCAGGCAGGACCAGCAAGGGTCTGAGGCACCTACTCTGGGAATCATCTCCTTGTGGGTTGCTGGGGGTTGTCTGTCGTCATGATGGTCAGAGAGGGGGGAGACGCAGAAAGAGAGGGAACAATAGGTAAGGACATCTTTTGTCCTAAATGTAGGAAGATGGAGAGAACCCACTGCAGTTTTCAGAGTTTGTTTCATCATATGTTATAGATCTTTCTCGTTTACGGTGTTTCCACTTTGGACAAGGATAAAAGCAAATGAAATGAGGTCGGCCTGCATGGCCTTGGGCCCATCTCTCCTCCCCTGGACCCCTGTCTCTTGAGCTGCTTCTTGCAGGGACATTCTGTGATTCTCTTTGTCCCAGGGTCAGAGGTGGGGGATCTGGAAGCCATGGTTAGAAGAACAAGAAGGGAGGAGGGCAGAGCTGGGGCAGGGCCTGGGGGAAATGGAATGGTGAATGACAAGACTTGCCTTGGTGGCAGCAGGCGAAAGGGCTTAGCCAGCGTCACACAGTCGCAAAGCCAAGACCGGAACTGCCTTGAAGTGATTCCCAACACCCCACCCCAAGCTATGCCACCTCTCTGCCCTGAGCCATAGTGGGCTCCAGTGGGAGGCTGACTGTCCCGCTGGTCATGGGCTGGTGTGAACTGTGCAGAGACAGCCCCAGCCGGGCACCTGGGCGCTCCTGGGTGTCTGGTGATGTAGACACCCCTGAGAGCCCCCAGTGCCAGCCCTCACCACCCCCACGTAGTTGCACCCCGAGAGCAGATTCCCACATCCTGCGGCCTCAGCACTCCAGCAGTAGGCAGACAGGAGCAAGGTCGGGCAGTGGGAGCTCTGGTGGCGAGCAGGCACGATATCCAGGCTGTCCAAAGGAAGCCAAGAGGTCAGAGCCTCTCTGTAACTCAGCTGGTGTGGGATGGGGGGTGGTCCATGTGTGTATGGTCATCTCATCCCCACACCCGCGGGGAAGACATTAGGGAGATCACTGCAGCCCTGTTGTCCTCTCCCACCCAGTGCCCTCTGCCCACAGGGTATGCGGGCCTGTCTCACGACCTCCGGATTGAAGGGTTTCCATGGGGTCTGATATTGGCTACATGACTCCAGCTGTGGGCCTCAGGTAGTGGGCCCCTGTGTGCTGATAGCTAAATGGCTGTACTCTCATGACATTTCAGGGACACCGCATCGAGCTCACTAACCCCTGAGGACACCGAAGACATGGCCCTGGGGCAGGACACGGAAATCTGCTTGCTGAAGTCCGGGGAGCTGATGTAAGTGCCCATCCCCAAGCGGGGCCTCCCGGGGCAGTGGGTTCGGGGCAGAGGAACTGACTTCCCAGTGCCGGAGCTGGAAAGCACCCGCAGGCTGACTGGGCACCGGAGGTTGTGCTTTTTTAGGTATAATTTATATACAGTAAGACCCCCTTTACAGTGTGTAATGCTTGGCCTTTGACAAATAATACAGTGTAATAGTCACCAATCATCCTGCCCAGCCCACACTCAGCTCGGCCAGCAGCTCATACGATCTCGGGGACCTCAAAGCCCACCCAGCTCTGCTCCCCACTTGCTGCTCCGTCTTGGACAAGTTACCTAACCTCTCTGAGCTTTAGTTTTAGTTTCCACCCCTGAGGCAACGCGTTTTTTCCAGAAAAGGCAGAGTTGAGGAGATGTGACTGGCTCCAGCCTCACACATTCCTAAGTTGTAGCCCTGAGCTAACATGCTGCGAAAGAGGCAACCTCGTTCTGGGAAAGAAAAATAGTCCAAACCAGGTCCATCACCCCCAAAAGCTCCCTGTCCCACTTTAAAGTCATCCCTCTCCCATAGCTATGCCCTGTGTTCTTTTTTGAAAATAACTTTGTTTTCTTATCATAAACACAATACATTTTCATTGTAGAAAATTAGGAAAATAGAGATAAGTAAATCACTTTGACATATAGCTCTCCAGTCTTTTTATACTTATACACATTTACATAATTTTTACTTAAATATTGTACATTGTATTTTGCAGACTTTTTAAATTTAATATTGCATGTGTATTTCCCCATAGCATTCTTGTTCTCTCCAGTGTTGTGCCCAATGGCTGTGTAACTGCATAATAGTCATTGAATAGATTCAGTCACTCATTCACCGGTGTTTATTCAGTACCTCCCGGGTACGAGGTACTGTTCTAAATCCTTGGAGTACAGCAGTGAACAACACAGAAAAAGATCCCTGCCCTCATGTTCAGCATGTAGTTCAGGAGGGTTGGACAAACTATAAACATGAGTAAGGAGATTATATAATATGTTGCAAGGTAGCGTGGTAGGGGAAAGAAACAAAGAGGCGGGTGAGAGGTCAGGGGAATTTGCAGCTTTAGATGGAGTGACGCCAAGAAGGTTAAGACTTGACAGAGTTGCCATTCAGATATGTGAAGGACCAGCATTCAAGCAGAGAAAACAGTCAGTGCAAAGGCCCTGAGGCAGGATGGTACCGGGCATGTTCAAGGACTAGGGTAAGGGCCAGGGTGGCAGAAGCAGAGAGACCTGGTCAGAGAGGGAATGAGGGCTGGGAGGTCCACATCACATCAGACCTCGTTGGCCATTCTAAGGACTTTGGTTTTTATCTGAGGGGGAAATGGGAGCCCCCAAATTAGGTTTGGAACAGAAGAGTGACTTACTCTAGTTTACATCTGAAAAAGGGTCACTCTGGTGTGGAGGGATGACCAGGGCAGAGTAGGGAGACCAGTAGAATTTACATTTATGATGTGAGAGTCCTATGGACAGGAGGCTTTTATTTGAGCAGAGATAGCAAACCCTTAATTTGTCCTTATTCGCATCTCCTTTGGGGAGACTGGGTATTGTTCTTTACTGAACATATAATGTCTAGAAAGGTCAAAAACATTAATTAAAGGCACAATCACAATAATGATGCAAGGGACAGTTCTGGAACATAAATTATAAGATAGCCCAGCCTTGGCGGGCTATTCCGTCAGGAAGTGACTCACACGTAATGTAGTAACACTTGATGTTACAAGAAAGACCTCTTCTCCACAATGAACCTCTGCCTGCTCTCAGATTCTCTGAAAAATGTAAACGTTGGGAAAGGCCTTTTATACCATAATTAGAAATAAAGCTTAGTACATGGAAACACGTTTAATGGAATTCAGTTTTCACAAAGGTGAATGACTCAGATCAGAGCTGTTCTTTTTAAAGCATTTGGGTTTTTAAATCATGGATTAGTCTTCCCGTTAGTGTAGCTTTGGGGAGTGTTTCTATCCATCCCCACAGCTTGGGAGGCAGACAGAACTCTCAGCACCAACACTTGCTGTTCAGTCTTGGGAACGTTACCTAACCTCTCTGAGCTTTCGTTTCCACCCCCGACGCAACACATTTCCTCCAGGAAAGGCAGAGTTGAGGAGATGAGACAGGCCCCAGCCCACCACCTCCCAGGCTGTAGCTCTGAGCTACATGCTGCCTCTGGAGTTGCTTGGTACAGGACGGGGCGCCCCCCAGTCAAGACAGGTAGCATCAAGGAGACTTTCCTATTCAGGTTCATCCTCTTACGTCATCTCCACACCAGGCAAGAGGCAGGTGGCTGTCTCTGTTTGCATATGAGGAGACGGAGGCTGAGGAGAGTCAGCCTGCAGCAGTAAGAAGTGAGGCAGCCACCAGAGTCCAGGTCCCTCTGGCTCCACACCTCATTCTTCACATCCCCGCTGGGTCCTGCAGAGGGCCGGCAAGCAGAGGCACTCCCGTCACTAGACCCTTCAGATTCTGGAAGAGGCTCGAACCCGCCTCGTGAGAGTTAGAGCCGGGGCACAGCCCCAAGATATGATCCCCGAGGCCATGATATCAGCCCTGCGTTAGAGAGTCGGGGGAGGGATCCCAGACGGCCGTGGAGGAGGTGGAAGTCGCACTCCCCACCTCCCAGGACCAGACTGGCATTACAGCGGAAACAGAACGCCTCACCTGAATAATCAGCTGAGACTAGCAACAGAAGTCTTAAAGCTAAGGATTTACAGAGAAGCCACATTGAGACTGGTAGGAAGGGCAGAGATTCCAAAAGGGCCGCCCCCTCCCCTGCCCCACCCTTCAATGGGCACGACTGAAATCCCAGAAGGCTGTCTCAGCTGCCAAGGTTCCCCCAGGAGCGAGCGGTCTCAACCCTACCCCCGGCTCCCCAGCCCAGAGGACTGGAGCCGGGAAAGAGGCACCACATAGCATCTGGCTGTGAAAATCGGGATTCTGTCCTCCTTGGTTTCCTGCTGGAAACTAGGGTGCCCCCTTTAAGATCCAGCACAAAATCTCGTTGGCAGATACTCACCCAGGGCTCCAAAGGAGGGAGGGCGGAGGGACTAGAGTTCTGTGAGGAGAGACTGGGGTTTGTGGCTCCAGGGAGAGAGCTGAAGGAATGGCCACCCGGGTCCTTGCCCTAAGCTTCTCTCTCATATTGTAGATGCTATCTTTCTTGGGTGGAGCATCTTCTCCCTCCAGCATCAGCCTGGGGGAAATGCCAGGAGTCCCACCCTCCAGGCTCCCTGTTGTCCAACACAGCAAAGATCACGCCCTGCAGAGGAGTCAGCTGCTTGGGCCCCGAGTGTAGAGGTCCAGGCAGGTTCAGGGGGTGTTAGTGACTGAGTTGTGTGGCTCTGGGGTGGGGGCCACACCCCTTACCTTCCCCCAAGACTGACCATTGCCTCCTTCTCTCAGGAGAGGCAGAATCTGGGACAGACAGGGTTATGTGGCTCTAAGATGGTGTCAGTTTTTCCCCTCACACGCCCAAGCAGTGCAGAGCCCTTCACACAGCCAGGTCTTAGTCTGTTTGTGCCTGATAAACTCAGCTGCCTCCCCCTGACGACTCCCTGAAACCCTGCTCCACCACGAAGGTCTGCAGGCACCCAGCAGCTGGCGGCTAGCCGTAGTATACCCCGGGACTTCAGTGAGTGGCCTCAGATCCAGCACTGACCCGCCTGTATTGGTGATAAACACCACTCACCCCTCCTCCCTGGTGACTCACTAAGAGCCTACATCATTCAACCCAAGTACTGCCGGAGGCTCTCTTAGTGACGGAGCCTAATGGGCAGCCAGAAGGCAGAGGCAAATCTCAGAGTGCCTTGTACCTTTTACTGACCTGCCCCCAGGCTCAGTGCTACTGAATGCCAGCCTTGGTGCACAACTTGGTCCTGCACACGCCCAGGCGCTGCAGAGGCAGCCACAAGCTGTGGGTTGTTTTAAAACTCCAAACAGGTTGCCTAGGGCCAGTCACAGGCAGCATCTCAGTGACCTGCACCAGAGTCCCTCCCGTGAGCCACCAGAACCAACTAGTGACAAGCATCAAACAACTCCAGAGCAGGATCCAATCACCTTCCCAAGGGGCACCAGACCCTGCTGAGGAGAATTCTGCTTCGTGTGGTCAACTCCTGCACAGCAGCTCGTACACTGTGGTCGGGGTCAATCCTCAGTTAGCCAGCCTGAGGGTCAGCCCCACACGTGAACAGGCAAATCAGAATTAAGACTCAGTTACAATAGGAGGGCTCCTGTAACCCACACAGGGACATTCCTGGAGCACCCAGCTCCAGTGGTCAAGGAGACGGTGCCACTGGGTCACACCTACTACGTAAGACACCCTGTGAAGACTGGGAGACATAGCAGATATACCTAATACACGGAGACGAACACTAAGAGGTAGCCAAAATGGGGAGACAAAGAAACATGCCCCAAGTGAAAGGACAGGAGAAATATCCAGAAAAAAACCACCAAATGAAATGGAAGCAAACACTCTACCAGATACAGAGTACAAAACAATGGTTATCAGGTTATCAAGATGCTCAAGAGGCACCTGTCTTGCCCAGCCAGCTGGCCAGGCTCCCCTTCCCAGAGGAGGCAGAGAGGGGAGCGCTGGGCCGGCCCGTGGGCGGGCGATGATGCCGAGCTTCTGCGCGGCCCCCAACTGCACACTGAAGAGCATGCAGTCGGATTTGGCCGCCTTCAGGTTCCCGAGGGATCCGGCCAGATGCCAGAAGTGGGTGGAAAATTGTAGGAGAGCAGACTTAGAAGATAAAACACCTCATCAACTGAATAAACCTTATCGATTATGTGCCAGACACTTTGAGACTTCTGTGATCTGTAGAACTAGTCCTTACAGGACAGTTCTTCAAGACAATGCAATACCAACAATATTTGATCTTACCAATCATTTGAACAATCCACATAGTAGACACAGAAAACAAATAAAAGAATTGAGTGAAGATGAAATCAGGACACTGAAACAGAAAAATATTGAGGAGGCATGGACTCCGGCAAAAAAAGAGGGAAGGATATTGTGTGTAGAAGTAGAGTGGCTTGAAACAGGGTGCCAGGTTTGAGGAACTACATTCATCTTGTTGTTGGAGCTTTTAAAACCCATGATGTTGACAAAACTTCTGAACAGGAACAAAAACATAAAGAAATCTACAACAGCAATGCTCAGAACTCCAGTGCAGAAGAGGGTGGAGAACAGGATGAAGACATTTTACCTTTAACCCTTGAAGAGAAGGAAAACTAATACTTAAAATCTTTATTTGAGATTTTGATTCTTACGGGAAAACAAAACATACCTCTATGGACACGAAGCTGATGAAATCCCAGAAGGTCTCTTTACTCTTGATAACTTTCAGGCACTGTTGGAGTGCCCGATAAGTTCTGGGGAAGAGGTTCTGAGAAAGCGCTTTGAGACAACAGCAGTCCACACGCTGTTCTGTTCAAAAGCACAGCAGAAACAGGTGCTAGAGATCTGTGAGAGCTGTGGGAAGAAACACTCACACTTCTTTTCGATTATCACTGATGACGTAGTGGACATAGCAGGGGAAGAGCACCTGCCCGTGTTGGTGAGGTTTGTTGATGAAGCTCATATCCTGAGAGAGGAATTTGTGGGTTTCCTGCCTTATGAAGCTGATACTGAAATTTTGGCTATGAAATTTCACACTACGATAACTGAGAAGTGGGGATTCAACATGGAATATTGTTGTGGCCAGGCTTACACTGTGTCCAGTGGATTTTCTTGCCAAGCTGTCTACACAACAGATTGGTCTGTTTTATCCTGTCTTTTTCCATGACTGTATCTACTGCCTCGTCTTGATTTATAAGCAAAACCTAGAAAACCTACAAAAAATGTGTTTTGTCGTTTATCTAGGAATAACACAGAAAATATTCTATTATTTTTGGTGAAGAAAGTCAATTTTGTACAGTTTATTTTGACGTAAATAAAATGTGAATTTGTTTTTTTAAAAAAAGATGGTCAAGAAACTTAGTGAGAACTTCAACAGCATGAAAAAGGACATAGAAACCATAAAAAAGGACCAGTGAGAAATGATTAATACAAAAATGTGAAATGAAGAATATAGTATAAGAAATAAACAGTCAGCCCTAACCGGTTTGACTCAGTGGATAGAGTGTCAGCCTGCAGACTAATAGGTCCCAGGTTCGATTCCAGTAAGGGCATGTACCTTGGTTGCGGGCACATCCCCAATGGGAGGTGTGCAGGAGGCAGCTGATCAATGTTTCTCTCCCATTGATGTTTCTAACTCTATCCCTCTCCCTTCCTCTCTGTAAAAAATCAATAAAATATATTTTTTTTAAAAAGAAACAGTCAGTTAGATGAAGTAGAGGTTTGAATCAGCAATTTGGAAGACAAGGTAGCAGAAAATATCCAATCAGTGCAGCAAAAAGAAAAGAATTTAAAAGATAAAAATGAGGATACTTTAAGGAAATTTTGGTACAACATGAAATATAATAACATCTGCATCATAGGGGTACCTAAAGGAAAAGTGAAAGAACAAGGGTTTGAGAAACCTATTTAAAAAAATAATAAGTGAAAACTTCCCTAATCTGGAGAAGGTAAACAAAACATAAGTCCAGGAAGTGTAGAGAATCCCAAACAAGACGAATCCAAAGAGGCCCACACCAAGACCCATAATTAAAATGGCAAAGATTAGAGACAAAGAGAGAATATTAAAAGCTGCAAGAGAAAGGCAGTTAGTTACCTATAAGGGAGCTCCCATAAGATTGTCAGTTGATTTCTCAACAGAAACATTTCAAGCCAGAAGGAATTGGTACGAAATAGTCAAAGTGACAAAAATCAAGGATCTACAACCAAGACTATGTTACCCAGCAAGGCTATCATTTAACATTGAAGGAGAAATAAATAGCTTCCTAGACAAGAAAATGCTGAAGGAGTTTATTACCATTAAATCAGTTTACCCATGTTGATCAGGTCCCTCTCTGCATTTGTTTTTTTAGGGTAAAATTGCCCTTCACAGTGGATGAGATTGCCAGCTTTGGGGAGGGTAGCAGGGAGCTGTTTGTGAGGTCCAGTACCTACAGCCTCATCTCCATCACCGTGGCCGAGACCGGCCTCACCATCAGCTGGGTCTTCTCCTCCGACCCCAAGAGTATCTCCTTCAGTGTGGTCTTCAGGGAGGCAGAGGCCACTCCGCTGGATCAGTGCAAGGTAAGGAGGCCAGCTCCCTGCCAGCGGGCGCGGGCTCACATCAGGACGCCTGGCCAGGCCCTCCCTACAGCAGGGCCACGGCCGTCCTGCCTTCTGCTGGGCAGGCCTCTCTTGAAATGTTCCGGGCCCCAGCTGTGAGAGGGACACGGAGAGAAACCAGGGTGGGAGAGCCCTCTGGCTGCATCACAGAGCAGGCACGGCGCCTGGGCTTGTCCAGCTTGGGGAAGGAGAGACCTGAAGCTCAGGAGAGCCGTCTTCAAATGTCTGAAGGTCACTCCTTTGTCAGACAGCTTCAATCTGACCTTCAGATAGATCGGTAGTTGAAACGTTGAGGAATGCAGACGGAAGGCTCAATGTAAGGATTATTTTTTAACAGAGTCGTGCAGAGCAAAAAGTATCACCTGTGAGAGATCACCATCTCCCGAGATCCCTACATCTCACCGCAAAACAGCCACTGTCACTTGGGTTGGTTGGGCTTGAAATCTTCACGCCAGAGACCAGTTCATACGCTCCAATATGGACGGTGGTCTGGACCACAGTTCTCAACCGGGGCCTCACGTTAGAAACACCTGGGGAGCGTCTTTAAGTCCTCCGCCAAGGCCACTCCCCAGGCCACGAAGTGAGGTCCTCGTGTGGCAGGGCACAGACATCCCTAGTGATTGCAGTGAGCGGCCAGGTTGAGGGCCACGGGGCTGGATCAGGGGAGGAAGTCAGAGTGCAGAGGGTGGGGTGGAATTTGGGACACGAGCAGGTGAACAGGACCCGTGGTGGTGATTGAATGTGGGGTGAGGAAGAAGGTCAGAATCCATGCCTGTTCCTCTGCAGGGACAGGGTGCAGGGGACAATGGATGAGAGCTGGTTTGGGTAAAAACCCCAGTTCTGTTCGAATCACTGAGTGGAGGGAATGGTGAGGACAGTCAGCCATGCTGGACGGGAGCTGAGGTGGATCCCAGGCCTTAATATGGTTGCCAAATCTCCATTTTCCAAAATTGCAAGAAACAGGATAGAGAAGAGCAATTTGGGGTGCCCTGGGGGCTTGGGGTAGGGGTGGGAAGGCCCCCGAGCTGAAGGCAGTCTCCTTCATTCTTATCTGAACACTCCTCTGCCCTCTCATCATTTTGGGGGCTGACAGCCATGCCACCTACCTGGCTTTGGGGCACTTCCTTCCTGAGAGGTGGCGATGCCCCAGCCCGGAGGTCCTGGAGCCTGTGGTCTGAGAGTGGACCCAGGGTCACCTGCCGACTGGGCACTGGGAGGTGGTGCCTCGCACTATGGGGCAGGTCTTCGGTTTGCAGATAAGCAAGCTGAGGTGCGTAGTGACTTGCCTGTGTGGTTGGTTGAGCAGCAGTGATACCGATGCACTTACCAGCTCCGCCCTGACCCTTCTGCACAGCCAAGAGCTCATACCAGCACCTTTGCTGTTAACCCTCCCTGTCCCCAAACTCACCGAGCGCCTAGCACTGCAACCACCCAGATTAACACTGTGGGTGTTTGTGGCCGGGAGGGAGGAGGTGACTAAATCAGATGTCCAGACCTTTGCCATTCCACCTGCCCACATGTGGCTGAGCCCTGGGTCTCTCCCCTTCCCAGTCACTCACCTGCCACACCTGTGTGGTTCGTACCAGGAATCACGCCTCCTCTCTGGCTTCCAAGTGCCTTCCTGGGTTATGACCACCATTGTCTTCCCCACAGTGGACGCCAGGGGGCAGAAGAAGCCCATCTATGGGGGGAATGAGCTGGGTGCTCAGTTGCTCCTCTGCCTTCACAGGCCCACTGTCCCCAGCCAGCTGTAGGTGGAGGTGGTTATTTCTGCCTGAGGTCCCCAAACAGATGTCACCCTGGGGAAGGTCCAGCACACGTCCTCAGCATCTGTCCTGTGTGGCCCCCTGACAGCCTGGGTCTTACGAGAAACAACGGGTGCAGTGTGATTGTGGAGGTGCAGACACAGGAAGTGTGCTCATGCTTGCAGTCTGTTCACAACCATTTGTTGAGCTTCTGCTCTGTACTGGGCTCTGTGGGGCCTGTGGGATCTGCCCTTGAAGAGCTCACAATAGAACCAGAGCCCCTAGTGAAAAGGCAGCCATGATTCACGGGGTGAGTGTCATAATCAGAGGGAGTGGGCACTGTGGTCACCTAACCCAGCCTGGGGGCCAGTGATTGGAGCAGGAGACCCTGGGCCAAACCAAGAGAAGCATATGGGGCCATGGGTTAGAGAAGAAGTGTCCAGGCAGGAGCAGCACAGCAGAAGGCCGGCCCCGACTCTGGTGGCACCGGTCAGAGACACACACACCCTTGCCACACCCTCTCCGGGGTGACTTCCTCCATGCCTGGACACCGAGCTTAGAGTCTGAATTTGGGAAGGCACTTGTTAAAGAAACAGTACACCAGGAACTCGAGGCTACCCTTGTGAGGACACAGGCTTGGCCAGAGAAGCTCGATGGCCACCTAGGGCCACAGAGGGAGTCAGGGGAGGAACCGGGACTGGGAACAGGACCTTTAAATTCTTACTTTTTAAAAAAATATATTTTTTTATTGATTTCAGAAGGGAGAAGGAGAGATAGAAACATCAATGATGAGAGAGAAACATTGATCGCCTGCTTCCTGCACCACCTTCCCCACCCACCCCCAAATACACTGGGGATTGAGCCTGCAACCCGGGCATGTGTCCTGACTGGAAATCGAACCGTGACCTCCTGGTTCATAGGTCGATGATCAACCACTGAGCCACGCCAGTCAGGCTAACGTCTTACTTTTTAAATAGCTTTATCGAGATATCACTCACCATTTAATATGTACAAGTCATTGGGGTTTTGTTTTGTTTTTAGGTTTATTCACTAAGTTTTGCAACTACCACCACTGTCTACTCTGATACCATTTTTATCACATCCCCCCAAAATATGGACCCACTAGCAGTCCTCTCTAACCTCTACCCAGCAGCCACCAGCTCACTCTCACTATGGACTTGCCTGTGCTGGACATTTCATGTGAATGGAATCGGACAGTATGTGGCCTTTTTAACTGGCTTTTTCCATTTAGCATAGAACCTCGCTTTGAACCAGGACCCCAAGACACCGGAGCCCATAGAAAGATGAGTTAAACCAACGTGGACTGTTTTACAGACACATCACCTGCATCAGGGCATGGCCACTCAGGCATGGAGGCCAAGGAGGTGTCCCCAGACATCACCGCTGAGCCCTGTCTCCGGTTTATGCCATTATCGTCCCGTCACCTCAACTGCATGAGCTCTGACACCAGAGCAGTTATGAATCTCCCCTAGACGTCTTGATGTATTTATTTAAAGTAATGAAGAGTCTTATTTTAAATGTATCCTCTTCAGAGGACCTGCCTTAACGAGCCCTTGGTTGTTGCTTTGTCGTCAAGGCTGTGACCGTAGGTAGGAGATGCAGGGCGCACAGGTGATCCTGTAGAAAGGACAGCCTTTCTGCCCAGCACCTCCTTCCTACCTGTGCTTGCAGGAGGCCTCAGGCCAGGCTCAGAAGTTTTAGGTCATGGACCACATCCATGACCTAACCACCCCAACCACTCGGCTCCCCGGGGACCTCAGACCCCAGTGGAATTAGAATATTATCGAACATGAATGAAACTTAACAAGATAATGTGCAGAAGTAGCTGCCTCAGAGCCCACACTTAGTAGATCCTCATGTATCTCTGTCCCCTCCAGGCTTGTCTTGGGCCCATCCCACACCCTCACCACCAGCAGCCTCCAGCCAGAGCAAATGTACTGTGGTGTCAGGAACACCCAGGCACTCTCTCCTATGCCTTCGGGATCTCCCTTTTGATTTCTCTTTTACTCGTGTGTGATTTAGAGTGTGTGATGTCGTTTCCAAGTATTTGGGGATTTTGCAGAAATCTATTCATTTTGTTATTTAATCCCATTGTCAGAAAACACACTTTGTATAACTTGAATCCGTTTAGATGTAAGTTGTTTGTTTGTTTGTTTTACAGCCTAATAGAATACCTGTTGAATGTTCCAAGTGCACTTGGAAAGAATGTGTTTTCTGCTATTGTTGGGTGGCGTTGTTCTATAATTATCAATTAGGTCAAATTGTTGATAGTGTTGTGCAAGTATTCCATTTCTTTTCTTTTTTTTAAGTTTGCATTTTTTATTGATTTTTAGAGAGAGGGGAAAGGAGAGACATCATTGAGAGAGAGAAACATTGATCGGTTGCCTCCCATACAGGCCCCGACCAGGGATCGAACCCTCAACCTTTCAGTGTTCAGGACGTTGCTCCAACTCACTGAGCCATACTGGCGAGGGCCTATTTTCTTATTGAGTTCCTGTCTACTTATCCCCTCAATTATTGAGAGATACTGAAATATCCAACTATAATTGTGAATTTATTTTATTTCTCCTTGTAATTATATCCTTTTTTTTTTTTTTTTTTTTTTGCTCTATGTGTTTTGAAGCTGTCATCAGGAGCATAAATGTGTAGGATTATGTCCTCTTGATGAATTGACAACTTTATCATCATAAAATTATCCCTGGTCTTATTCTTTGATATAATATTCACTTTGATATTAATATAGTCAATCCAGCTTTCTTTTGACTAGTGTAGCATGGTACATCTTTTTACATCCTTGTACTTTTAACGTATTTGTATATTTACATTTAAATAGCATTTCTTATAGGTGTGATGGGTTGGGTCTTGATTTTATCCAACCTGATCATCTCTGCCTTTTAATTGGGATGTTTAGACTATTTACATTTAATGTGATTATTGGTGAGATTAGGTTTGCGTATACATCTTCCTGTTTGTTTTCTGATTGTCCTGTCTGGTGGTTGTTTCCTTAGCACTGAGCTAAGGCTCGTCTTGTTCTCTCAGAGATCCCTGACCTTTATTGCCTATGTCCAGTATCTTGAAAACTGCTGCTTTGTATGAAACTGGATTCAACAGGAAACAGCCAGGCAGACGGATTTCACCTAGAATGAGCCCCAGCTTCCTAAAGCCAGAAAGGGGCTGCTTCTGCAGATGGTGGGCGTTCCGGCACTGGCCATGGTCAGAGGGGGCTGGGGTCTACTCCTTTGGGGTGTTGACCAGTTCATGATCTGGATGAAACTCATACCTACCCCTGCGACAAGTTATCACCAAACCATGGCGTGTGGAAGGCACCCCACTACCCCTAGGGGCTGATCCCAGCCCAGCTCAGCTCTGACCTCAGACAGGACACTGAGTTTCCTCCCCCCAAATAAAGGGTCTTCCCAGAGGGTCCATGGGGCCCTTTCAGCCTCTGATGGTTTTCCTTACCTGCTTTTCCTCCCAGGTCCTCATTCCCACCACCCGATGCAATTCCCACAAGGAAAACATCCAGGGCCAGCTCAAGGTCCGCACACCAGGCATCTACATGCTCATCTTCGACAACTCCTTCTCCAGGTAGGGGTCTCCTCATGCATCAGCATCTGGACCACCCACCTGCCACCTGGTCTCAAGAACAGAGGTGGACACTGAAAATAGATTAATTAATTATCATTCCTTTATTAAGAGTTCTTTGATTTTAGACCCCTATACTACAGTGTTCCAATGTGTTGCCAGTTTTATGAACACACAAGCTGATACTTACAGCCTTACTACATGTCGAGTATGTTCTCAGCCCTCCACACTCACGGACTCACTTCTGCCCCACAGCATCCCCAGGTAGTAGGGACCATCTCTCTCCTAATGTTACTGCTAAGGGCTGAGGGCCGGGGGAAATGAGTGACATTCCCAAGTCACACAGCTAGTGATAGAGCCAGATTTGAACACAGCTGGCCAGCTCCAGACTCTGAACTCAACCGACATGCTCTCCTGCCTCTCTGATGTCCAAGTTCCCCATGTCCAGGCCACAGAAAGGCTCAGTAAATACAGTGGAAGGATTCAATGGGTGGGTGAAGTGACAGATTGTTGAAAGAGAGGAATAAAAGAATGACGGCTAAAGCTAGGGATAAACAGGATAGAACTGTGAGGCGAAGTCCCTGGCCTGCTTGTCAGGGAGCAGGGGCTTCGTGTGCTGCCTCTGGGAAGCCCTGTATCAAAGCAGCAGGTCCAGGTCCAGGAGTGGAGGGGTTGGGGGGTGAGATGGCAATGTAGGGAGATATAGCTTGAAGGGCAGCCAAGGAAGGACGTGGGAGAGGACCGGCATTGATGAGCATCGCCCATAAGCCAGGGCTCGTGGAGACATGAGACGGGAGCTCCGGTTATGGCCACCTATCCCTTTGATGTCTTCTGGCTCCAGCATAAGCCCTTAATTGGGGCTGCCTCTTAGGAGACCTGCCTGATCAGCACGCAGCCACGTCTCTTCTGTGTGGTGCCCAAGCTGGTGGCCACATCCCCCCTCCTGGGCCCCCTTCCCAATCCACTTGGGTTTTCAGCAGAATAACTGGGTAGAGCACTCTGAAAGTCCATGGTGATGTTCATGGTGATGTCCCAGGGCCCCTGATTCTTTGCAGAAACAGAGCTCAGCTGGCCAGACAGGAAATTGGGTGCGGCCCAGGCCTCTGAGCAGAGGTCCCCTCAAAGGGCTCTCTGTGCCAACCAGCACCCTCGCCCTCCAGGCCCCTGCAGCCTCGGCCTCTCGGCTCTCAGGGTAACACCCTCCATGTCCATCTCTGTTTCCTCAGGTTTGTCTCCAAAAAAGTATTTTTCCACTTGACGGTCGACCGGCCCGTGATCTACGATGGGAGTGATTTCCTGTAGCCTCCGCACCTGGATCTCAGCAGTTTCACTTCACCCACAGGAAACACTACTCTCTCACCTGCCACATAAAACACTAAAACAAAAACAACAAAACAGCCCAGCCACTCCAAAGCTGATCAACTATGCAACTCGACAACACCCTGGCTGCTCTCCTGGCTGCATGGTCCGGGCAGCGTGCACTCAGCCCGCAGCTCAGCTCCCGGGGGCTCACACAGCCTTTCCCTCGCTGCCTCGCCCCGAAGGGGCACTACCGGGGGGCTCACCACTCCTGAGCACAGTTGGTTCCAAGCCTCCTGGGGAGTTTCACAGGCCAGAGGTGGTACCTACCTCTGCCCATGGAAAGAGTTGCCCTGCTCTGCCAGCCTGGCCCGGCATCCTGAGAGACCATGAGCCAGATGCCCTTGCCGGACCCGGTGAGGCCTTGGGTCCCAGGGTCATCATGAGAGTCAGGGTGCCAGGGGCCCTCACGAGACCTCAACCAGCCTCCTCCGGCCATGTTCCTGTCCCTTCCGCCCCAGTCAGCTTGGTGTTGCTCCCACACTCAGCAATTCCAGAGGCCCCTCCAACTGCCCGTTCCTCCTGGGCCTTCTGCTGGGCAATTCTGTCCGCGAGCAAAGCCCTTCATCACCCAGGCCTCTCAGATCTCCCCTAAGAATCAGAACTGAAAGTTATCCAGGGAACAGAACCCCCCACACTCAGAGCCTGCGGAAGCCACCCCGTACAGACGGTGAAAGCCCAACACCGGTTAACACCAATCTGTGACCAGAGAGCAGGCTGTGCTTGGCCTGCAGGTCCCACTTCTCGGCTGATGGCCTTCATTTATACAACTAGGAGCTGCCTCACATGCAGATACGTTTACTAATGATCATAATCAGGGTGAGAACCACTTTCAAAAATGGGCTCCTTAAGTCTTAGGTAACTCACGTGTAAACAGGCACGACTCATGAATCTGCTCTGTTCACCATTTGGTCCCGATTCCCTGGCACCACTTGCCCACTTCCTGCTGCTCAGCCGGAACCTGATGCCCAGGAGCCACCTCCCCTGAGGAGCCACCTCCCCTGGGGCAGATGCTTCCTTTTCCTGGTCTCTGGCCCTTTGCTTCGCCCACCGCAGAAGCTCAACTTTGATGGCCTCTGTGCCTGTTCAGGGGGGCCAGCCACCTGTAGCCAGGGCTTCGGTCCTTCCTGCTGAACAGAACATCTGACGAGGCAGCCCACGCTGACCGGGGCTGAGGGAGAGAGCGCTGGGCCCCGGCAGCCCTCTGTCATCCATGAGCCTGGCCTGGCCGGTTCTGAGAACTTGAGGCTGGGTCAGGGCCCCCCACTAAGAGCAGCACCGACCCCACTGTGCCCCAGCAGAGCACTCCTGGGGCGGGGGTTGGAGGAAATGGCTTCTGCAATGGGCTCAGACCCCTCGTTCAAGCAGGAGACTGGGCACTTGGGTTCGTTTAAGTGGGGCGTGAGGAATGGTGAACAACCTTCAGGAGAAAAGCTGGGCCTTGTGCTCTCTCCTTGGAGCCACCAGAGCTCTAGCATCTACGGCCAAGGGCCTGGTGGCGCCCTGCACCAGAACCACACGGCAAGGCCGGAGACCTCACAGCATGTGCTTGTCCTCAGGTGTGCCACAGCCCGAGACTGAAGGCTTCAGAGCTCGTTGTTCTGCCTGTGAATCCGTCCCCTCCCCCCTTCCAGGAAAGCATAATAGAAAGTAGCTGCTCACGTGAAAGAAACTAACAGTTAATGGAGAACGCAGGGCAGTCTGGGATCTGGTGAGAGCTTAGCTTTCGCAGGATCCCGGGAACCAGCATCTAGTGAGTAGCTGACAGGGTTCCTGTGAAAGGCCTGGGACATTCTATTCATGAGGTCCTGCTGCAGCTTTAAGACCACTTGGCCTGTCAACCCAGAGCCACTCCTGGGGAGCAGGGACCCTTCATGGTGAGCACCCCTGGAGCGTTGACTGCAGTTGCAAAAGGGCCTTTGGTGGTGGAAGGACTGTCCGATCGATCCCCAGGTCATGGCCGGCCCCTGTAGCATATTTTTTGTGTTGGATGCACTCCTGTGCGTTACTTTGCGTGTGAGCTCGGGTTTGCTGTGCACTCTGCAGCTGGAGACCGCCTTGCCTCCTGAGTTGTGGCAGCAGCTTTATTATTCTAAGCAGGGTCCCAGCTTTACTGAGGCTTTGGGGTTGGGGTACTTTTAAAATGCAAATGACAATGAAGATTTAGCGAAGGTGGTAGCCCAGCCAGTAGACAAAATGGCACTAGAAATCAACAAGGAGGAAACACCTTGAGGTCCCAGGTAATTAAAAAGGAAAAACAGCTGGCCCAGCTCTGAGTAAGTCACTTATTTTTTAATATTGATGCTGGCTGGCTTGTTCACTACGGCCTCAGAAGCCACCACTAATCCAGCACCCTGAGCACAGGGCCTGTCGGGAAGCGGGTTTGGGTGAAGTGTGGCCTCTACAGAGCCCACCGCACTCAGGTCGACTGAACCAGGGGCAGACAAATTCTCCAGCAGGAACCTGGAACAGGAAAACCCCATGAGGTTTGGGAAGTGGAAAGAAGCCTCATACTGTAACTCAAAAATGAAGGGGATGGTTTCTCCAAACATGTTCATTGTCACCAACCTAACGCGGTGAAGCCATTTCACTCATGAAAGGAAGTCCCCCGGCTGAGGATGAAACTCAGTCTGTGGCTTATGGTACCAATTAGATGTCCACTGCTACACTCTCAGGACTGTCATTTCTTAAGTCTGTGTTGGTAACTCCCTGTAAGAACCCCATCCTGGGTGGGGGTTGAGAATTATAGCAGAGAAGCCCTTTGTGGTGCTCGGAGCCGAGGGTCGCCCTTCACAGCCACTGCGGTCAGCTGTCCACCTTACAAAACTCCCAAAAGGCGCTTTTTAGTGGAACTTTGGGTAAGTTTTTCTCATTTCATTGTGACTCAAGGAAGTGGGAAAAAACTGAATAAAGCCTTTTCCCTCTTAATCACTTTAAAAATAATGAACCATATCTTTAAATATCGGGAAGCATTTTTATAAAAAGGCTTCCATAGAACCTGGTTATCCAGAGACGCTCTTGCCTGGTGGCTACGGAGCAATACCCGGGACTCAGGTGCACGGCTTCTGAGCGGAATTGCACTTTCATCGACTAACCCTCAGTCCTCGTGGCCTCATGGGATAGTGGGCCTGGGCACCCGGTTCATTCTGACCTGCCAAAGAATTACCCAGAAGCACATCAAATGCCAACACCCCACCTGCACAGTGGGGGTGAGAGCCTTTTGTATCCCCAAACATTTCTTTACAGCCTCTGCTGCACCGTTTGGAAGTGTATTTTTAACCTCAGGATTTAAATAAACACTATGACATTGAGGATGGTGTCATCTTTAATTCCATTGGGACGTAAGGCACACAGTGAAGTTACCCAGACCAGAGTCAGGTTAAGCCGCCTTGCTGGGAGATTGGTTCTGAGAAGTCCAGCACGGCCTGATCTCTGGATACTTCCCAGCCCACTCGGGCGGGTGTTGAGACCTGCCTGGGCCAATCCCCGTTCCAGCCCACCGCCCTCCACCAGGCAAGCTGCCTTCGGCTCACATGTCCCAGCCCTTCCATGGTACAGCGCTGTGAGCAAAGGGCGGGCGTCTGATTTACCAGAAGAGGGGGGTGGGGAGGTCATGGATGGCTTAAAACCACAATGAGTCCACCAGTGGTACAGGCCGGGCAGCTGGCAGAGGGAGGAGTGCAGGCTCCCAACTTACACGGCTCTAGTGGGGTCAGGCCCGGGGCAGTGTCCCAGTCACTCCTGGACCAGTCAGATTGAGGTCAGGCTGAGCTGTCCACACCTTACACTCCACATCTGGGGATGCCAGAGCTCCTTCCCTTGGTCTCCCTGTGCCTCATAGAACACCTCCCAGCCCCCTTCCCTGCAACCCTCCCCATTCTCCCGTGGCCTTCCCTTTATTCAGCCGTTTCGGAGTAACTTTCTGCATCTGTGTGCTCCCTGGCTCCGTTCATCCCCCCCTCCCTCCTTTCCCTCACTCTCACAGCATTGAGCACTGCCAGGGTGATCCAGTTACTGAATCCTTAGGGACTGGCCAATCACTGGTCGGTCCCTATTCCTTGGTCAGCTATAAGCCCTCAGCAATGCCATTGGCCAACTTGGTGAGGGACAGAAGCTCCTGGAACTCCCTTGGCCTACGAGAGGTTTGGAGAGGGTGCAGGTGAGGTGAGCAATCAGTGGCTCCTCCCCCTGTCCTCCCTCTTGTTATGTCCTCAATCCAAGCCTCACTCTGTCCTACGACCAGCCTGAAGTAACGGAAGATTGGTTCATCCAAGCACCCGAAACAGCACAGAGGAGGGATCTCTGTAGATGGAACAGTCCCTCCAGAGGCTTGGTGGCTTTGCGGGGCGGGGTCTGGAATGAGAGCCAAGACACATATGAGCATCACCCATAAGCCAGGGTTCGTGGAGACATGAGACAGGGGAGCATGAGAGTGCTGCTTCTGGGGCTGGGATCTGGGGGCCTCCATGTCAGAATCCCCATCGCACCTCCCCCACCCGCTAAAGCACCACGCAGCCCAGGATGACCTAAGTCTGCCCCAGGTTTTCCAAGGCCCATGCTTGCTCCCAGGCTCCTGGCCAGCTCAGTGCCACCAGCTCCGTGGCACGTGGAGGGACCACGCCTCCTCAGGCCACGTGCGTCCCTTGGTGCTGGGGGATGTGGCGACCCCCAGGTGACTCAGAAGGACGCTCAGCAGGGTCAGCCCTCTCGGTTTGAAGATGCGTGGGAAAAATCTGGCGAAAGGAGCTCGCCGCCCACACACATCTGAAAAGCCAAATAGATAGTGAAACCGGTCGCCCCAGAGGAGAAAACGGACTTTTTTTGAGGGAGCAGTTGAAGCTGAAGCCATGAAAAGGCAGGGGGAGGGCACAGCTGTTCTGAAAGCCGTTCAAAGTGGGTGAGGGTTGAAAGAAAGGTCAGCCTTTTGCTTTTCCCACGCCCCGGGCTCCTGGGGGACGATGGTAAAGCCGAGCAGAAGCGCGATGGCCAACCTCGGCCTCTGATGTGTGTCTCCTCCCTCCCCGCCGCCGAGCCCGTGGGAGGACCGAAACCGGTGCGGTTTCCTCACACCTTCTGGCCCGTGTGCACTGAGGTTATCTCCCAGCTCGCAGCCCCAAGTGGAGCCTGGAATGAATGGTTTTCTTGGCTAAAAAGGGAGCGACGTGAGACAGGCCTCACGAGACCTGAGATGCGTGCGTGTCCTGACCACGTTTAGCTTTGGGCCCGTGGCTCCGTGGACTCACCCAAGAAAAGGTGGGTCCAGGAGGCCCTCCCCAACTTTCTGCTCCCAAGGAGCCCAACCGAGCCACAAAAGAAGGAGCCCACTCCTGGGAGCCTAAAGCTGTCTGCCAGGTCAGTGGGGCCGCACTATCTTCTCCCTGGAGGGTTCGGAGGGGAGGGGCTCTGAGGATGAGCGAGCACAGAAGGGGTGAGGAGAGGGAAAAGCTGGAAGGGCCTTCCCCGAGGCCTCCGGCAGGGCTGGACTGCAGGCAGGTTAGCAGAAGTCGCCTTGCTCCTCGGAGGAAAAGAGCGGTGGGGAAGGGGCAGCGTTGGTGTGGCCAGAGCCAGCTACCCCGTCCAGTGGAGGCAGCGTGTTAGTGGAATGGAGACCTGGACCGTTTACCAAACAGACACCAAAGGCAGTGACAGCAGGCGGGGAAGAGGCAATCCGCCTGTTCCTCTGACTCCGGCTGCCTTCGAGGCCTTGAGTGCATCCACAGAAAGGCACTGGGGAGTGCAGGCCCCGTCCTGCTTCCCAAAGGCCTTGTCACAGGAGATGGGGTCCACGCGTGGAACCAGAAGCCTTTGTAAAGACAGCCCTGGCCACCGGCAAGGACGCACACCGAACGGTTGGGTGTTCTCTTGCCCTGGTTGTGGAAGAGGGAGGAGGGGGAACCAGGACCCATCTCGGATCAGGCCCAGAGCCCCTTGAGTTGCCAAGGGTTCAGACATCAGAAAAAGCCCAAGGTTGACCCAGGGCTCCGCTTTGCTCCAGAGTCAAGCTGTTCATTTAGTGTCAGTAAATGTAAAGCAAGTACCAAGGACTTTCTTATTTGGGTTCCCTGGTGGCCTGTTAAAATGCAGATCCATGGGCACCACCCAGTCAACTCTGGTCCACCTGAGCTGACTCGTTCACGAGTCTGCCCGGTGATGGAGGCAGAGCTGATCTGGGAGCCACTTCGAGAAGGTCCTTGAGGATGCCGCTGTGTCACCACTTCGGTTAGGACTTGAGGAAAGGGGGTAAGATGAGCTAATGGATCTATTTCTTAATTTAACTCCAACAGCGACCCTTAAATCTTGGAACCGGGACTTCTCCCTCAATGTGTTGGCCCAGCCAGATGCAGTGATGGAAAGTTCATTCTCGGAGAGGAAGGCATTTCTAAACGAATCCCCTCGTATGAAAATATTCTACAGGTAAATCTTTTTACACCCACATTTTTTATGGCTTGTATTTATATTCAATGGGCATGTTACTAACTGGCAGATCGCTTGTAAATGGAAACAAATCCCTTCCCCAAATCCAAGATAGTTCCCTTCATGTCCAAAATTTAAGAATCAGAGGAAGAAATGTGAGTTTGGTACCAATGGGTATGAGTTGGTGGAGATCAGGTTAAACATGGCTCCCCCCCCCAAAAAAAAAAAATTAACAATACACATGGGCTCCCAAGCTGGTCCATACACTGAATTCAGAAGCTCTGAACTTGGGTTGGGGGGGACTGGCATCTCTCCCCTAACTCCTAACTAAAATGTAGGCCTCCCCGCAGTTAGGGATGTAGATAACATGCCACACTAGTATGAATTGGCGAGACCTTTGACTTTGTCACCAGTGGAAATGACAGATATTTACATGTCATGTGACAGCTGTTGTAGACTCACAAAATATCATGGATGCTCATCTCCACCCAGAAAAAAAGGCTGTCCTTTGACCTGCTGGTAGATCTTACTTAATGCACCAACAGAGAGGCACACGTATTGCTAGTTCATGAATTGTTTTAATATGTGGAGAATTATATATCAATACAATTGGTTTCCTTGGTAATCCTATATATTTGATTCACTTTAAAACACTGAGCAGGGGCCTATAGGTCTTGTCGGATTGCCAAAGGTGCATGAGACCAAAAAAAAGAAGGTCCATTGGTCTGCATGGAAAAGAAGTCAAGAGAAAGATCAGCTCAGTGCAGTACCGTTCACTGATGGCAATAGTGGCGTTTCTATCTTAATAGGCTCTTGCCATAGTCAACCAGCTGTTGCACATGGGGGAACCAGGGCCCAGGGAATGTCTGAGCTATTTAGAGAAGATGCTATTCCCGTTGCTCATGCTGAGGTGGCTGTGGGCGTGGTTTTCTCTAAACCAGTGATCGGCAAACTGCGGCTCGAGAGCCACATGCGGCTCTTTGGCCCCTTGAGTGTGGCTCTTCCACAAAATACCACGTGCGGGCGCGCACGTACAGTGCGATTGAAACTTCGTGGCCCATGCACAGAAGTCGGTTTTCAGCCTCGGCAAGTCTATTTTGAAGAAGTGGCGTTAGAAGAAGTGGGGGGGGGGTGTCGGTCGGTCGGTCGGTCGGTCGGTCGGTCGATAGGAGACACAGCGCAGGCGGGGGCCTCGGGATACGCAGCGCGGGGGAGGCACGCGCGATTCGTGCACGAGTTGAGTGAGACTGGCTACAAGACGAGTGTGGATGGGAGAGTTGGAAGGGGTCGACCTCAGCGAACGTACCTCAATCAGATTGAGGACGTTTTTAGCAAAGGCCAGCTTAGGAGTACCCTAATTAAGTTAATAACAATGTACCTACCTATATAGTTTAAGTTTAAAAAATTTGGCTCTCAAAAGAAATTTCAAGCGTTGTACTGTTGATATTTGGCTCTGTTGACTAATGAGTTTGCCGACCACTGCTCTAAACCATTCTCATTTCACTGGAGCATAGATTATGAGATGATTTTTTAAAAGTCCTCTATAAACCAGGAATTACGAGGCCAGGGTGGAGCAGAAGATGCCTTTGCCCAGACTCTGACCTACTTTCCATGTTAAGCTCCAACATCTGAGGCCAACTCAGATTTGGGAAAGCAAGCACACCCACTCAAAGATTGCAGACACAGAACACGTGACAGCTTTTCATTTATTGAATCAGTTACCGGAAGTGTCCAAAAGTCTCATCCTCCATGGCCGCCGTCGCTGTGTACGTAAGCCCATCATGGGAAGAACACGTGTCAGCACCACCCTGCCATGGCAAAGGCCTCCGGGGAAGGGTGACCAGGTCAGAGCGGCAGGCGCTCACGGGGCTGCTTGCTTCCTCACGCAGGACTGTTTGTCACAGCCACCGTGGGCCAATGCAAGAGATCATACACACACACCCTTCTCAGGAGTGGGCCGGCGGCAGTCTGAGCCACTCCAGCCCACTCTAGCCAGCCCTCCCTGGACCACCCGCTCCTCTCGCTGCCTGTAGAGAAGGGGATGGCATTACTACCATTGCTCCAGGTTGCCCAACTTTACTTTTCCAAAGTTTCCTGGCAGCTGATTTCCCATACCTGCAGTACAAATTGGACAAATGACTAATTTTACATTTTAACCAATTTATTAGTTCAACATATTGTATCTACTACATACAAGGCACATACACCAGATCAGAAACACACACAAAGCTGCTTGTCCAAGGGCTCACCCAAGGAGGCTGTCCCGGGAACTGTCTGCAAACCAGTTGGTAAGCCAAACAAAGGCCAGCCTCGTGATTCTCAGCCACGGGCTCTCACCTGACAGAGCCTTCCAGAGCATTCTCCCAAATCTGAGTCCACGTGGCACGTGGCCTCTCCCTATTGCTGGGATGCAAGGATCTTGTATTCCCACTATAACCTCGGTGAGGAGAAAGGTTCATGGTACACAGATGAATGCTTGTTGAATGAATGCATGAGTATGCTGTAGGCCTGAACAACAATTTAAAAGACCAGATGTCAAACTGACTACTTCACAACAATGACTCCCACTTGAATATACGTGTTGTGATGGGTCAGCTCAAAATTAGGTGTTTGTTTTTTAAACTTTGTGGTTGAAAAGCCATGTTTGGTAATGGAAACATCACACTTTATTCACTTTCTCCATTTTTCTGATGCATAGAGTTCTAGTAAAATGTAATGATATACTACAATCCTCCTTTATTTCAAAAAGCACTCGCACAGCGTGTTTTCTGGAAATGTTGGATGTTCACAACTTCCTCCTGGATTTCCCCGCGTGGACTCTTCCAACTTTTTATCTTAAGATGAGCCTGTTCCTGAAACCTGGTTTAATTTGAGTGTGAAATGGTCCTACTTATGCAATCACTTAAAAACGAAGGCAATTTGCCAACAACGAGTCTTAAAGCATAAGAGTCACAGCATGTCTACCATCCTGCGGTGTAGCTGTTAGGTCCGGACAGTCCTTGGTGACAGTGGGATCCCAAAGGAAGCCCTTTGGAACGGGACGTGATGACGTGTGTTAGGGCGCAACTCAGGGTTCGTGGTCCTTGTGCTGTTCCCACGTCTCTTTTCTTCAAAATCAGAGGGGACGGTGGGCCTCCTGGCACTGTTTTGCCAACCAGCCTACACTGCCCAGCATCCTATTTACCTCTAGACTCCTACCGAGTCACCATCACAGTGTAGACTCTAGACCAGTGGTTCTCAACCTTCTGGCCCTTTAAATACAGTTTCTCATGTTGTGACCCAACCATAAAATTATTTTCGTTGCTACTTCATAACTGTAATGTTGTTACTGTTATGAATCGTAATGTAAATATCTGATATGCAGGATGGTCTTAGGCGACCCCTGTGAAAGAGTCATTGGACCGCCAAAGGGGTCGCGACCCACAGGTTGAGAACCGCTGCTCTAGACTGAGAGGAGATTCAGTGACCTCCATCCTGGCTCACCCTCCTCCCATCCTCCATCCCCCATCCTCACTCCACGGGGCCCATGACAGGTCACCCCAGAACCACAGTATCGAGAGGACCCAGGACGGAAGAGTTGTGTTCTTCTCGCCCACCTGCGCGCTGTTATTTAGGTTCCGCCCATGCTTGTTCCTTATTCTTCCAAGTTCCTCCAACGACATCTGGGTCTCCCGGGAATGGTGGCCATGCCGATGGCTCTGCCCATAGACTGACCTTGCAGCAGTCACCCTCCCCTTGACTGTGAGCAGAGCCTATGGGACTGGAGCCCTTGTTGAAGTGCTGGTCCAAGGCCAATGTTTATTCGCCACCAACTGTCCCACACGGGATGGGTTAGCGAGGCCTTTGTAGGACCCCCTGTGCTCCCTCGTTGCTGCCTGTTTTCTGCGCACTTTCCCACTAACCCGTCGTTTAGAAGCGGGCAGGAGGTGAAGGAGGATGTGGCAGGGTCCAGGCTTCTGTGTCCCCTTTGGAAGAGATGGCCTGGCCTTGAAACCACAGTAAGTCCCGGCACACGGAGAATCAGATGCTTCCTCTAGACACCTGGCGAAGCTGCCGGGTCAGGCTAAGCTGCTCTCACAGTCCTTGGCGGTTCCCTGGACTAACTGGGGAAACCTGGGAAATAAGTTTGACCAGAGGAGAGAGAAACGGGTCGGCCAACATGGTTTCCAGGTCTTTCGGAGATTCTTTTTCCATAGCCCAGTCTCTTCCTCACCACACTCTTCATATGGCTCTTTTCTCTGTAATTGTACATATTTCAAATATTGGGACAGAGTCAAGAAAATGACCAATAATAGATATGTTAAAATGTACATCAAAAACTATTTCTAGTTTACCTAAAACTAACATAACATTGTATATCAACTGTAATTGAAAACTAAATTTTAAAAAATTTAAGCATTTTTCTAATATATGAAATATTTTCAAATGTGATCAAATTGCCAAACAGCTAAAAGAAAGACGCAAAAAAAAAAGTATATTACTTTTTTTCCAGTTGAATGTCTAAGTTGAAAGCTTTAAACGTGATAGCTCTATATACTAAGCAAGGAGAAGCATGGAGGCCGATGCCCTCCCAGCAGCCTCAGCAATAAGAGGGCCGGTGGACCAGCCCATTTACAGGGAGCCAAGTGGACCCTCACAAAAGCCACTGAGCCGAGCGAGCCCACGGGGGCCCCGGGGCTGGTCCTCCCTGCACGGGCTGAGGAGATCGTTTCCATGACCCCGGTGGGCAAGCCGACTCCTCGCCACATCAGCCCTGAGGCAGGTGTGGAATCGCAGGGCCTCCGGCAGGACACAGAAACGGGTTGGAAGCCAACCGAACCCAGACGACTTGCTGGGATGGTCAGTCGCCCAGGGGCTCAGTGGTCAGTCCTGCAGATCATTTCTAAACAGGCACAAGGACCCTCCCTGGCCCAGAGCAGATCAAGGAGACCTGGGGGGACTGGATCTGAGGTTGTCTGGAAAGATTCTAGAATCTAGATTAAGACTCTGTAAGACCTGGCATAGGTATCAGCCTCAAAACCAGGGTAGAAACTCCCCCAAAAATGCAAGTTTCCGTGAAATCTTGTGCAGTGGCCAACGCTTCGGTGTCTGCTCTGGAAGGGGTGGCTGCAGAACTGAAACCAGGGCAACTCGCAATGCTCTGAGAATCTCAGATGCCTCAGATCAGATGCATGAATGCTCAGGCCAGGGGGAGCCAGGGGAGCCTGCATGCTGTCCATCAGTTCTCTGAAAATCGCAGGCATGGCAGCCAGGAGCCAGCAGACCCAGGTTGCTGCCCCGGGATGGCTAGGCAGTTTGGAAAAAATCTGGCTTGGCGAATTCTGACTCAAACTAATAATGTTCCAATTATTCCTTTCTGAGGTGTCTCTCTCTCACTTCCTCTTTCTTCTGTGGTGTCCCTCTGGTCCCATCAGTGGGGAAGCTGTATCTGTATTTATTGTCACTTCCAAAGGGACCATCCACCCCTGCGAGACGGTCCCTCACAAGGACAGAGCCCCTGAGGTTGTCTCCAGCAGCACCGAGGACATCTTCAAGCTGCCCTCTCTTCTGGCAAAGGAGGCCCACTGAGCCTGGCTGATGCAGCCCAGGTTCTTCAGGGTCTTCACAAGATCCCGGCGGAATCTCTCGCCCACAAACACGTAGAGGACTGGGTTCAGGCAGCTGTGGAAGAAGGCAATGGTCTGCGTGACCTGGAAGCAGATGTCAAGGTTGATGGAAACGGCACAGCTCGAGATGAACCGGGCGAAGGCGTCGATGGTCTGCACCAACAGGATGCAGTTGTAGGGGAACTGAGATAAGACAAAGACAGTAAGGACGGAGATGGTCACCTTCAGGGCCTTGTGCTTGGAAGACTTCTTGGCTTGGGTCAGAGTGTGAATGATGATGGTGTAGCAGCAAGCCATGACCACAAAGGGAAGGAAGAACCCCAGGATCACCTTCAGGGTCAAGACGACCGACTTCGACGTGGTACTCTCATCACGAGGGTACACCATGGTGCAGATGGTGATGTTAGAATCCCTCTTGAGTTGGCTGTACAGGATCTCTGGGATGCAGAGAGCGGCCGCCATCACCCAGACGACAATGCAAACCATTTTGCTGTATAGAAGCCTTTTCTGCCTCCAGGTCTGCGCTCGCGTGGCCTGGGCAATGGCGATATACCTGTCCACGCTGATGCACATGATCAGCAGCCCACAGCTGTAGAAGTTCATCTTGTACATGCTGTTGACCGCTTTGCACATGAAGGTCTGGAATTTCCACTGGTCGGCAGCGGCGATGGCCCAGAAGGGAAGAGTGGCCAGAAAGAGAAGGTCAGCGATGGCCAGATTCAGCAGGAACATGTCCGTCATGGTCTTCACCCTGGTGCAGTACCAGTAGACGAGGATGACCAGACTGTTGCCCACGGTGCCCACGATGAACACCAGCCAGTACAGGGGCGGGAGGAAGTGGCTCGCAAACTCCCTGACGTTGTTTTTCTTACAGAAGAAGTCCAACAAGTTTAAGTTCTCATAGTCATCCATGGAAGACGTGGAGTCATAGCTGAAGTCATCAGACAGATTAGGGACAGGACTCTGCAAGGAGACGCAAGACGGCATTAGGTCAAGGACACTCTTTTGGAGGCTCTGATGGCAGAGGCATGGACCACCTGACCCTTCCAAGCCCCAAAGCCTTTGATAAGACAAAAGAAATGTACATGCAGAAAACAGGGATTCTGAGAGCATCTGCTTGGATCATAACATTTATTGATTCAACAAATGTTTGTTGAGCACCTATGGTATGTCAGATACTCTGTATGTGCTGAAGATACAGAGGTGGGTAAGTCAGCACGGTTCCTGCTCTCCTGGAACTCACCGCTCATGGAGGGCACACACAAGGAGTGAGCAATGGCAGGACACGTGACAGGTCTCTCATGGAGTAATGCCCCTCAGGACCACTGATGGCACAAACGGTTATCACGCTCTGCGCATGATGCTGACTGCCCCTTCTCCTCTCTGTTCTGTCCTCCCCAAGAAGGTCCTCAGAGGCTCTTCAACTTTTCTGGGTCCAGATCCCTCTGAGTCTTCTGAGAGCTATGGGTCCTCTGCTCCAGCAGCACCAACCGTATCCACACATATGAGCACACATGTACACATGTGCATGCACACACTCTCTCACACGCAAGCACATACATAAGCCCCAGGACAGGTTGTGCCATTTTCAGGGTCCCTTGTTCAAAATTTGTTAAGAATTTCAAAACAGGCCGAAACCGGTTTGGCTCAGTGGATAGAGCGTCGGCCTGCGGACTGAGAGGTCCCGGGTTCGATTCCGGTCAAGGGCATGTACCTGGGTTGCGGGCACATCCCCAGTGGGGGATGTGCAGGAGGCGGCTGATCGATGTTTCTCTCTCATCGATGTTTCTAACTATCTCTCTCCCTTCCTCTCTGTGAAAAATCAATAAAATATATTTAAAAAAAAAAAAGAATTTCAAAACAGTAGAGCATTAAATCACACAAGTGGCACCTCTAAGTACAGGGCCCTGTGCAGTGTACAGGGCAGACTCCCATGATGCAGGCCCTCACAAGCACACATACACATGCAAACACATGCAATTCATGCATAGATTTGCACATGCACACTCACATATGCACAAACATGCCTGCCCTCTTGCACACATGCACATATACACATATTGCACACACTGTTCAGACACATGCACACACATGCACGCCCACATAACACCCCTCCTTATAGTTTGGGTGGGTTCCTGGCCCAGAGCCAGTCTAGAACCCCTGCTAGGGGGAGTGGAGATAAGGGCTGGTGATCAGAACCCTGAGCCATGAGCCCTTGAGAAAGGGATGGAGGGTGGGAGGGAGCAAAAATCTAAAATTGCATTTTCCTCTGTCTTCACAACATACCCCAAAGGGCTTCTGGTTCTCCACATTTGTAAAGCCCTCTGCACTGCGCATCAACTGCCTCTATGGGGCGCTGCTCAGCAGGGATCTTACCCAGGGAAACCTCCCAGAGAAATCCCTCCCCCACCCTGGATTTTTTCCCACACCCCCAAAAAGGGCAAGACAGGAGCGCATTTCAGGAGCTATACTCACTGTGAATTCTAGGGGTGTCATGGTGCGTCAGAGGCAAGCCCGCTTCTAGAAAGAGAGGGCAAAGATAAAGAAGAGGCTTGTCAGGGAGCAGTGATACAAACCTAACGGTGGAGGTTCAATGTTAAATCTGTTTTCCTCATGAAAAAGATCGCAAGCAAGGTTGGGGAGCACGCCGTGCCGATGTCAGTCAGATAGTCTACATTCCAGAATCATCTTGGTTGTTCACGTAGACGTGAGCGAAGCCTTCCTCTGAGGGCCCTGGCGCCTTCCCATTCCAGCGTCCTGTCCATCAGCTCGGCTTCTCTTGGCTCAGCTTCTCCATCGGAGTCTGTTTACCTGAATCCCCCTCTTCCCCATGTTATCAGCCTGACGACCGCAGGACAGCGGGTGACTTGGGAATGCTCGGGCCCAGACTCCGCAGGGGCAGAGGCAGGGCCTCTGGGTAACCAGGTGGCAAGAACATGCAAGGTGGGTGGCATCTGCCAGCATCGGAGTCCCTCTCCCGGAGGGCCCAGCGCCCCAGCACCTGCCTGCACGCTGGCTTACCAGCTCCGAGAAGGGTAACGGGCCCTGTTTTCCCTGGATCCCGACTCCTGCCCGAAAAGGAAGTCCTAGGTTTGTTTACCAAAGAAGAGGTAGTGGCCTCCTGTACAGGCCTCGGCTGACCGCAGGCCGGCTCCGTTGCTGTTTCCAGGTATTTGCATCTCTGTGAAAGCCACACGCCTGTAGGACCGAGGGACCCACAGCCGGACTCCCTCAGGGCAGGGCCTGTGCCTGAGCGGGCGGGTCCCCTCTGTGGTGGCCAGTGCCACACCCAAGCTCTAGAAGGAACCCTTCTCCGTCATCGTCATCGATCCCACCCTAACCTGCTGGTTTCCTTTTTATAACACAGCACCGTGACTCGTCCTGCTTTTCTGAAAGCCAGTGGTTTTCAGTGCATACCCTGTGAGACAACCGCTTTGGAAAAGCATTTGTCAGTTTCTTAAAAAATGAAACATGCCTACGCTCTCCGTGTGCCTAGTCACCCCACTCCTGAGTGTTTGCCTTAAAAAAGCGCAAGAAAGACTATCCACACAAACACTAAAGAACCAGTGTTCATAGCAGCTTTATTTGTAACAGCCCCGACGCCCCTCAAGCGTAGTGGAAGGACGAGTAAAATATGAACCCTTGCTACAGAGTAGAGGTGAATGGCTGGTACACCGGCTGGGTGAATAGCTATTTGTCTTTGATTGTCGTTGGACCTTGGTTATGGCTGGTTATCGCTGGATTCGGGGCGCACACAGGGATCGCTGAGAATGGTGTTGGTGAGAGTTCGGGGACAGGCCTCCGTGCGCTGTGGGGAGTGGAAGTTTAGGTGATCTTTTTGGAGGGGTAAGCCGTATCTGTCGAAATTACAAAGCACAACGGCTCTGACTCAGCAGCTCATCTGCTGGGAACACACCTACTGGTATTATCTCAAAAGAACACAGAGACGTGTACAGGGCCGTGTGTCAGCATTTCCCCCAGGACAAAAACAAAACAAAACACAACAACTAGAAAAAAACCTAACTATCCAGAAACTGGTCATATTCCAATGCATCTGTTCAATAAACCACCCGGAGCCAATAAATAGAATAAGGTAGACCTCACAGCGTACAAAGAGCTCAGCAAGATTATTAGGTGAAAATGCCCAGTGTAGAAGACTATGTTGCATGATCTTTGAAAATCTATATAAAAGGTGACGCACCTCACAGCTGATTCGCACTGAAACATTGTCTGGCAGGAGCTTGAACAATGAGGGCCAGTGCAAAGTGAGACTCTCATTTTTTTCCTTTACTTTGTGCATGAAGTTTGAAGAGCTATCAGAAAAATAACCTGTCAGCTTTACTTAAAAAAAAAAAAAAGAGGCCCCGTTGCTCTTCCGCTCCCTGGACCTGTTTGCAAAGCTCGTCCAGAGGAGGAACTCGCAGCCGCCCAGCTAGCCGGCCGCTCGCCGAGCCATGTCTCCCATTCAGTTCCCCGAGCTGCTCTGCGTCTTTGAAACCCTGCGCTGGCTTTTTATAAGGGTTATCTCTCTTCCGTGACAAAGGTGTTTCTGGCTCATAGAAAATTTGGAGAGAGCCAGAGAGCAAAAACGAACCATTTTCCTCCCCAGACCTAAAGACACGCCCGGCGGCCTTGCTCTCCATTCCCCTCTATCTTAGTCAGAATACTTGTTGAGTATTTTATTCGTAAACTGCGAAGCCTCAGGGCGCACTGTCATTTTCCTCTTGCCCCTGAGAAGGAGGGAAAAACAGAAGGAGGAAACCCCACATATGACAAAAGGTACAGAGACTGTTGGGAGTGCCCTGGTGCCTGACTCAGGGATGCCCCACATCTCTGCCCTGCTGCTCAGAGTCGCCCCGTCCCGGGCTCTGCACCTCAACTGGAAAGCCCGCCTGTGTTTTGCAGCACAGTGAGCTGAGGCCGGGGGAGCACCATGGGCCAGAAGTGAAAGACCCCATCTGGCCCTGGGCATCCCTTTCTGCCTGTGGACCCTGGCAAGGAGTGACAGATCCTCACTGAGCCTGGGTTTCCTCGTCTGTAAAAGGGAGGTGAGCCCAGCCAGTGTCGCTCAGTGGTTGAGCGTCGACCTATGAACCAGGAGGTCAGGGTTCTATTCCTGGTCAGGGCACATGCCCGGGCTACAGGCTCGATCCCCAGGAGGGGGCATGCAGGAGGCAGTCAGTCAATGATTCTCTCTCATGATTGATGTTTCTCGCTCTATCTCTCCCTCTCCCTTCCTCTCTGAAATCAATAAAAACATATATTTATAAAAGGAAGATGATAGCCAACCTTCTCCAAGGGCTTGTTGGGAGGGCCAAGAGCAATGCCGTGCATGAATGCTTTTTGCAGAATGCAGAGAACTCTGTGAGAACAAGGGGACGGTCTTCATCCCACAGCTCACTTGCCAAGTGTGCCCTGATGCCTGACTCACTTGCTCAGCTTAAACAGTGTATAAGACATGACCTGTGTCCTCACAGCTCATGGCCACAAATACCAGCAATGGTGAATGCTATGAAACACTTTTGGGAATTCGGAGAAAGAAGTCTCATTCTCCAGCGCTGGGAGAAATCTAGGAGGGCTTCACTGAGGAGGTGGTGTTTTTGCTGGCCCTTGGAGCCTGGAGATCACAGAGACACATACAATGAAGGAAGAGAACATTGCTCCAGAGCAAAGAAACATATCAACAAAGGCATGAAAGCCAGAAAGCATGAGCTGTGTGCCCCTCGCGTCTACCTTGGAGGTAGAGGAAGCGAGAGACCTGCTGAGTCTCCAAAAGTGGAACATGCCTCTTAGACAAGTTAGCCTGGAATCAGTTTTTTTTTTCTGTTCTCTACTGTCCTCACGTAACCAAGATAAAAGTGAGCAGGGAGCAGCTGAGGGCGCAGTAACGCCCCCCATCCATAGACTTCATGGCTCACAGTAGTAACCCAGCAAATTGGACACTGACGTGAGTCAGGAATGTGGGCCCTTCCTTTGATCTTTGTCCAGTTTGCTACAGGGTCAGGCCCCCCCCCCCCAGTCCCCATAGGCACTGACCTGGCCCCAGGGGGCTCCCAGCGGGAGCCTGTGAGTGGGGCTCCTGAGTAATCAGACAGATCCTGGAAGAAAGGCTTCCCTGAGCTCTGGTTTGTTCATCCTGGAGAGATGGGCATGGGGACTGCTGGCTCACCCCACCCCAGGCCCGCACTCAGCACAGCTCACCTGCCCTGCCAGTGGCGGGGAGCAGCAGCTGATTAAGAACTCAAGAGGGGTATGTTTGAAAGGCAAAACAGTATTCATTGAGCCTGCGGACTCAAGGGTCCCAGGTTCGATTCCGGTCAAGGGCATGTACCTTGGTTGCGGGCACATCCCCAGTAGGGAGTGTGCAGGAGGCAGCTGACCGATGTTTCTCTCTCACCAATGTTTCTAACTCTCTATCCCTCTCCCTTCCTCTCTGTAAAAAATCAATAAAATATATTTAAAAAAAAAGAACTCAAGAGGGGTATGTTTGAAAGGCAAAACAGTATTCATTGATGAGTCATTTAAAAGAAAGTAGCTTGGCTGATTTCTGATTAGAAAGGAGTCTTTTCACACCGTACCAGGAAAATCCCCCCAACGCAAGCACCCATCATGAAAGAAATGAAAACACAAACGCCTCTTGTCTAGTTTAGCCGCTGTTAACTTTCCCAGACACCTCCTGTTAGATGATTCCCTGTACACACACACACACACACACACACACACACACACACACACACACACAAACACACACACTCTTAATGGTGAGGAAATCCAACTGCATGCACAATGCTCTATCTTGCTTTCTAGTGAACAGTCCCTCACGGGCCACTTTTAACGCCAATTTAACATGGAGCTACAACATCCGATTGGGTGGCCGCTGAGTATTTCGTTGTCTGGATGGGCTACAGTCTATTCGACCCATCACCTCCTGGGCATGTCATCGCTCACCCTGGAAGCCTGGTACTCATGACCACTGAACACGTACACAAAATCCTGGGTCTTAGAAGCTGTTGTGACTGCACACAGCTGAGGGCACAGGTGGCCCAGGGCCGGGGAGGAGATAGCGGGGTACTCACCTTGAAGGGCAGCACGCGAGAGAGGCTCGGGAAGAAGGGGCCGCCAGCTGTGCCTGGGAGGGGCTGGCTTGCTGTCTGCCTGGGACGAGAGGCAAGCCTTCTGAGCAGGCAGCGACCCGGTGAAAACAGCACAGAGGAAGCCAGGCCACCCCTGTCGGTGCTGTCACTGGTGGGGTGGGCCCAGAGGGTGGGGAGTGGGGTGTCACCAGCTGCAGCTTTCAGCAATTCGCAGCGTCGATGGTTTGCAACCAGAAACAAAAAGCCAAGGGAAGCTGGGCTAAGCTAAAACCATCTCTGAACACGCATGTACAGGCTGATCATGCAAGAATAGCGTTTTTTCCTGGATGGTGCGGCTGCTGACAGGAAAAGGGAAGTGGAGAGTCCCCGTGAGGGCCGGGCCATCAGCTGGTGAAGGTGCATCTGTAAGGTCTCTTCAGGTGCTGGTGTCTGAGCAGGCCTGGGGAATCGTCACCCCAGAGCTGTCCATCACCTTGGGACCCTTTGGCCTTGACCTAAACCCATCGAGCCGTGCCGTCCAATACAGTGACTGGTAGCCCCGTGTGCCTCTTTAATTTAAAATTAATTCAAATGTAATTAGTTCCTTAGTCACACGAGCCACACGGCAGGTGTGAGATAGCCGCACGTAGCCAGGGACAGCGTGCCCGTCCTCTCTGGCATCCTATCGAATGGCACTACATTAGCCAACATGTGACACAGACCTAGGAACACAGGGAATGCTGGGGGACCACAAGCACCTTAAACTCGGGGTCACATAGAGCAAGATTTTATTTGGACGTGGCCACTATACATCAGATACATTAACATTGATAATATGTTTCATTTTATTCATTATGGGTGTTTAGATGAAATTTTGGAAAAAGCCTAAACATACAAAATGTGTTTTTTAAAATATATTTTTATTGATTTCAGAGAGGAAAGGAGAGGGGGAGAGAGATAGACACATCAATGATGAGAGAGAATCAT